CTCATTCCTCTTGCTAAAGGAATGCTTTAGGCTTAGATAATTCAGGACAGTGATATTTGAGGGAAAAGTCTGCTGGAATGCTTCTAGAAAAGTTTCTCACTTTTAACAAGGTACATGAGACACAGATATAACTTTTTTTTTTTTTTTTGTCTCTATGCATGACTATCTGTCTCTAATGACTAGAATGGCAGATGCCATTTTGGAGCCATGAGAAGAGCCCTCATTAGAAAATAAGCCAACACATGGAGGATGGTGGAATACAGCCTTGGTCCTGGTGGCAAAGTTGGCTGGTATTCTCCAATATTCACTTCCCTTCTTTCTTTAGTATTAGATTCCCTAAATTTTAGTTGGATACATGGTATATTTATCAACTAGGTGGGACATGTACTGGTCCTTAGTATTTGAGTAGATTGGATATATAAAACTCCTGGGCCATGTGATTCCACCTTTTGCTGTTTTTATATCATGTTTTTGTTGTTTTTATAGCATGTCTTTATTGTTGTTATATCATTGTTATTGTTTATTAACCAATTTATATATTATTTTCATATACATTTTACTAATTTTTATCTCTGACACTTTATTATAGAGAAAGGCTGAATAGAGATATTACAATATTTCTTCTAAATAATTTCCTTTCAGTGTGCACAAATCCATGCACCTGGACACTAGTTTATGATAAAATCTCTCAGCAAAGTGGGAATAGAGGGAATATACACTGAGTGGCCAGATTATTATGATCTCTGAACACATAATAATCTGGCCACTTAGTGTATATCCTATATAATAAAAAGCTAATATGCAAATTGTCCCCCTTGACCAGGAGTTTGACCAGCAGGCAGGCCAGCCAACCACCCATGTCCCCTCCCCCTGGCCAGGCTGGCCAGACCCCACCCATGCACAAATTCATGCACCAGGCCTCTAATACACACACACACACACACACACACACACACACACACACACACTGAGTAGACAGATGATTATGCATTCAGAGATCATAATAATCTGGCCACTCAGTATACCTTAACATAATAAAGACCATATATGAAAACCCTACAGCAAACATCATAATCAATGGGCAGAAACTAAAAGCATTACCCTTAAGATCAAGAATAAGAAGGGATGTCTGCTTTCACCACTTTTATTCTACATAATACTAGAAGTCCTAGCCACAGCAATCAGACAGCAAGAAGAAATAAAAGGCATACATATTGGAAAGGAGGGCATAAAATGCCTTTATTCACAGATGACATAATACTATACATAGAAAACGCTAAAGATTCCACCCAAAAGCTACTAGATCTAATATATTCTGCAAAGCAGCAGGATACAAAATTAACATTCAGAAAACAGTGGCAGTTGTATACACCAATAATGAACTATCAGAAAGAGAAACTAAAATAATCCCATTTACTATTGCAACAAAATTAATAAGGTACCTAAGTATAAATTTCACCAAAAAGGTTAAAAACTTGTACTCCAAAAAATTATAGGACTTTGAAGAAAGAAATTGATGAAGATAGAAATAAGTGGAAGCATATACCATATTAATGGATTGGAAGAATTAATATAATTAAAATTTCCACACTTCCCTAAGTAATCTATAGCTTCAATGCAATTCCATTAAAATACCAACGGTATAGCCGAGACCAGTTTGGCTCAATGGACAGAGCATCGGCTTGGGGACTGAAGGGTCCCAGGTTCGATTCCCGTCAAGGGCATGTGCCTTGGTTGCGGGCATATCCCCAGTAGGGAGTGTGCAAGAGGCAGCTGATCGATGACTCTCTCTCATCGATGTTTCTAACTCTCTATCTCTCTCCCTTCCTCTCTGTACAAAATCAATAAAATATATTTTTTAAAAAATAAAAAAATAAATAAAATACCTACGGTATATTTCATAGATCTACAAATATTCCAAAAATTTATATGAAACTAAGAAAGACCCAAATAGCCTCAGCAATCTTGAGAAAGAGGAACAAAATTGAAAGGATCACAATAATTGATATTAAACTATACTATAAGGCCATTGTAATCAAAGCAGCTTGGTACTGGCATAAGAACAGAAAAATAGATAAATGGAACAGAACAGAAAGCCCATAAATCAACCCATGCCTGTATGGTCAATTAATACTTGGCAGAGGAGGCAAGAGCAAACAATGTGTTAAAGATAGTTTCTTTAATAAATGGTGTTGGGAAAATTGGACATGCAAAAAATAAAAAATAAAAAAAATGAAAGTAGACCGGCAACTTATACCAAATATAAGAATAAACTTAAAATGGATGAAAGACTTATATGTGGGGAAACCATAAAAATCCAAGAAGAAAACATAGGCAATAAAATATCAGATATCTCTTGCAGCAATACATTTTTAATAATATTGTTTATTACATGCAATAATTATTACATGAAATAATACAGTTAGAGGAAGACAAATATCATATGATCTCACTTATATGTGGAATCTAATGGACAAAATAAACTGATGAACAAAATAAAAACAGAGGCAAGGATACATGGAACAGATTGACAGCTTTCAGGGTGGATGGGGAGAGGGACTAGATGAAAGAAGGTGAAGGGATTAGCCAAAGCACTATAAGCATAGACACAGACAACAGTGTGGTCACCGCCAGAGGAAAGGAGGTGGGGTGGGGCTGGGTGGAGATGAGCAGAGGAGGGGAAAATGGGGACATCTGTAGCGGTGTCAACAATTTTTAAAAAGAAGTCGAGGGGGGGGGGGGAAGGAAGGAGGCAGAACTAATTCTAGTTCTGAGGCAGGGAAACTTGAAACATTTTCTTGTGGAAGAAAACATAATAGTGATCAAAGACAAATAGAACATAATAAAGGATACAGGGTTGACTTGAAGAGGCTCCCATTGGCCAATTTTAGGACAATTTGAGTATCAGAATAATGATGATACATAACAACAGAATCCAAAAACTTCTTTGTTACAGATTTTACAAATCTATAACATTATGTAAGAAACAAAAATGGGAGAGAGAATACCAGCTGCTAAATATAAAATGTAAAATAAATGATGTAATTGTTTTAAAAACACCATTTTAAGATTACTAATGTAAAATTGATCTAGGTAAGGATAATAAATGAATGCTAACAACCATGGAATGAAAATTCTTGGCCAAGATATTCATACAGTTACCAAGTACATCCCACAGATTACTTATTAATTACCATGGCAAAAGGTGTTTTGTTTTGTTTTTAATTTCTTTTTCATTTAGGAATAGGTAATATAGAACAATTATTTTTGTAGAATCTATTGTACTCTTTGTTTTGTTTAAACCTCACTGGAGGGTAATTTCCTCCCATTTATTTTAAAGAGAGTGGAAAGAAAGGGTTAGGGGGAGAGAGGAGAGAGACAGAGATACATTAATTGGTTGCCTCCAGCATGTGCCCCAATTGGGGCAGGGAACCCACAACCCAAGTACATGACATGCCCTTGACTGGATTCAAACCTGCCACCTTTGGGTTCTCAGGCTGATGCTCTAACCACTGAGAATGCCAGCTAGGGCTGTACTCTTTTTTTAATAGGATTCACCTGAAAGGGACAATCAGATTAGAATGTGAGCTGGGAATTATAGCAAAATAATAATAATAATAATAATAATAATAATAATAAAAGAAGTACAGAACACTTCTTTTTGTACTGTGAATTTGGTTTGTAGGTTCAGCAATGAGATAACTCCTGTCTTCCTATGTTGTTTTATTAGTGTTCAGGGAATGCAATTCTAATGAACACAGCTCCCTTTAAAACTATAATGTGAACTTGGTTAACAGTTCTGAGGTCACTAGAACCATTAACTAAAATATATAATGTATAAAATTTGGCAGTAGTAGGTAAAAGTGTTATTTGACAAGTTGATTTTGAAGTGTCAGTTAAAAAAGTGAAGATGACCTCAGGCAGTTATAGATTCAGCTCTGTTGTGATGATCCTCCCTCAAAAGAGTTTAAGACTAGAAGTAGAAATTTGGGAATCATCAGCATGGAGGTCCTGTCTGAAGATACCATAGTAAATTATGGTGAGAGAACACAGAGTGAGGAGTTGCTGATGAGGAATAAGCAGAAACTAAGGACCTGGTAATTAAGAGGCTAACAGAAATCTCCCAGAAAAAACTGACATGTAACGTTTGGCCACCAACCAAATGCAGGAGAAAACTGTGAGGAGGTAGGAATGGGATGACGGCATCTCAAGGGTCAAGTAGCATGAAGGCACAGTGTGTCTAGGATACTGAAAACTAAATTTGTAGGCAGAGAAGAATAAAGGAAAAAGAGATTTGAAAGTATATTTTAAAGTATTTATTGCCTTTTGCTTTCCCTTTAAAATTGTTTGCAACCTTTGTGGCTGCCAAGGCTCGCCCAGACTCTGTAGCACTTCAAATATTTGCCAGTATAAATCCAGACTTTATCTCTACGAATTTAGTGGGAAGTTTTGCCTGTTAGAGATTTAGTTACAGATTATGATGAACTTCCAGCTTTCATTTATCTTGATCTAATTTTGCTATCCTAATTTTAAAAGACAGGCCTGTTCATTAGACAGGTGCAAAATGCACAATACCTTTACTAATATGACCTTGCTTTTAAAGTGGGGGGAAATGGTGCCTGGCAGATAAATGCGGATTATTTTAACTGTGTAAGCTACATAAATGTTGTCACCATGTTTGTACTAATGTGTAACTGTTCTAGAAAACAGGTATTTGAACATTCAGCGTAATACAGTATATTGGTTTGTGTATTTCTGTGACCAGATAATCCTTTTTTATTCTTTGTGAGTCTGAGGCTGGGGGAAGGGGGTGGGGGTGCTGTTTGTTTATGTGTGTTTGACACTGAAAATGTTACAGCTCACCATCCGTCACTCTCTTCACGCCCTGGGGGGGGAGGGGGCAGAGGTAGGGAGGGTGTGACGCTGATATTTGTGTGAATTCGGGCTTGTGATGCTGAGCTTGGTTCATCCGTTTTCTCCTCCCTTCTCCTTCCCACCAGCGCCACAGCAACATCCAGAGCCTGAGCGTCCTGCGCCCAGCCCAGCGGGGCACAGAGTCTCCCTCTGCCAGCAACCTGGGGCCCCGGAGCAGAGCGAGCGCGGTGACGGCGCCTCCCTGCCGCCAGTCCCCGGACCACCATGGCCAAGAACCAGAGGGACAGGAATAGCTGGGGTGAGTAGAATGAGGCGACTTGTGCTGCCTGCACGGGACCGGCCCTCTTCTGGGAAGGGAGGGCCGAGGACTCCGCGGCACCAGCATCCAGGGCTGGGAGACGGGTCGCAGCCGGCCCAGCCGCTCCCTGTCGGGCAGAGGAGCCATGGCAGAGCGGTGCCCAGGTAACTGCATGCTGTGGGCGAGGGCCCCGGTTTCCTGCAGCCACCGCCTCCCGTTCTTCCCCTGGCTGCATGGTCTACCTCCTCCCAGCATTTGGACAGCACCCACCACCCCTCGTCTCCCCGAGACTGACTGCCCGGTTCCGCTTTAGCGATAGGTTGGCAGGAAGGAGATGAGGGTGGGAAGGGGCCTGTGTTACTCTGAGTAAGGGATAGGGGATCCTCAAAGCGTCCCCCCCCCCCCCCCCCCTTCCAGGGAGCTGTGCGAGCTCCTAGGCGCAGGCTCCCAGCGGGCTGCGGGGCTGGAACAATGAAGCGGGAGCTTGCCGGGGCCCAGAAAGCATTGCAGACCTGAGCAACAGAGAAGGGACGCCCGCTTGGGAGTGCCCCCGCGCTGCAGTGCTCATTTTTAATTTGGGGGTTGGGTGGGGAAGTTGGGGAGAAGAAAGCAAAGTTGTGGTTTCCAGCCTTCTGCCCCACCCCAACCTGGCACCCCATTCAGGGGGGCATTGTTCTTTGATTTCACCGTTCAGAGATATTGGGCTAATGATTCAGCACCAGGCCGAGGGGAGGGGCAAGGAGTGGCTAGGCCGAGGGGGTTCACGCTGGGTGGGTGGGCGGTGCTCACGCACCCGGAGAAGAGCAAGCGCAGTGATGCAGGAGAAATCTCGGCCCCGCCCGCCTGCTCTGCTGCTCGACTTGATTTAGGATGCTTAGTGTGGGCAGGTTGGGCATCTTTTTCCTCCTTGAGCATCCGATTTCTTCCAGTCTTGGTACGAAGCACGCTACCACGTTAGAACTAAAGCCTTATGGGGCATTTTATTATATAGAGCGGAGCAGGTCTTAGGCTACTGTGGGTTGGTGGGCAGAGACATATTTTGTTCATGAGTTTTGAATTATTATTTGGAAACTTTATGCCCACTAGATATTTAGAGCTTCTTGATTATCTCAGTGAGATCTATAACTGTCATTCAGACCAAGAGGTATGAATTTTAATTGGTTATTTCAGAGTACTTTTATTAAAAAGCCATTATTTCTCCTTGCTCAGATTGGGCACAGGACCGGCTTAAATCCCAGGAGAAAAGGTTTACATATGACAGATTATTCAAGGTTTGTGGTAGTTATGGGGAGTTGGGAGCAGGGAGGTCTAGCTTTAGTTGTCTGAGTTTATAAGAAAGTGGTTCCATTTGTCTGAGATCACCAAACCTTAGTTTATTAGGTGTGACTATTGCAATAACACTGTTTTCTTTGCTTCTGATAATACGGGTAAGCTTTTTCAGTGGCCCCTTCCCACCCTCCCTTCCCTCGGCTTCTAGAATAAGATTTGTTTAACACTCACAGTTAAGGTATGTATGTTCAAGTCAGTTTTGGTCTTGATCTTCATGCATTGTTGATTCCACCCTGTTTGGAGACAGGCATGTGAAAGTTTATGGTGAGGATTAAAATTTTTTTCTTTCACGAAGCTTTGGATCATTATTCTTGAGTATTTCCTTTGGTTACAGATTTCCTGTTTTTTTTTTCTCTCTTGGGAATGTGTTTCTCATATGGGATTTTCATAAAAACCACATTGGGAACTTATTAGACATGCAGATTCCCATATTGTCCAGCCAAAGCTTTTGAAATGGGGTCCAAGAATCTGTCTTTTAATTAGCATCTTAGATGATTGAGAAGTAAGAGGTCTTTGGATGTTACGTTCAGAAACACTATAATTGATTATTTATATTTGATAGAAACATATCCTAAACAGTTCACCCAGAAGAGACCAAGAGAGTTTCAACTCAAGTGATGAATTAGGGAAAGAATACTAGAGTCACTGTATGTTCATTGGAAATGTTCACATAAAAGAAATAGTGGAGTTGTGGAGTCTTGTCTTAACACTCCATAGAAATGCTTTACTGCTCAGATTTTTCTTTGCAGTAAAGTATATGTGACATAAATGAGGTATAGGTTTCTGGCAAAGTATTAGTCATATCTGTTTTGACTCCATTTTATTACCAGCATCTAGTAGAATGTCTAACATGGTAGACATTTAATAATACCAATAATAGCTAATATAATTGAACTAATATCAGTGAGGTAGGAACTGTAATCCTTTTGTTACATATGAAAAGGTAAATGATAGGGCCAAGATTCCAACTCTGGCAGTTAGGCTTCAGTATCTTTACCACTATGCTATAATGCCTCTTTTTTGAGTGGATAATACCTTCTGCATTATATAGAATTACAGTTTTCAAGGCACAAATGCATTATTGCATTTGATCTTTAGTCTCTTAAGTTTGCAGGACATGTTCCCTGTTTTGCAAATGAAAAAACTGAATCTCCCATTCGGTAAATGACTTGATGAAAGTCACATGTTTGGCAAGTTGGAGGACTACGAACATAGAGTTGTCTTCTCATTTATTTTCTGTAACATGGTATTGTGGAATGTTTTATAAGATATTGGGCATGGTGTCAGGGGAATAGAGAGAACAGGTCTTTGTAGGAGCCAGAGGTCACTGATGAGAAAAAAACTCAAGTGATAGCTATAAAAGACTTACCTTATCTTAAATATTTCCCAGACAAGTTAGAAAGTTAAGACCAGAGGGCAAAGGTAGACTATCCAGATTTGATAATATAGTGATTTCTAAGAAAAAAGACAAGAGATATATTTGTAAAATCTGTACAGGAGACTTAAAATTTAGATAAGGATCCTGTAGGTCCATGTATCAGGTTTATTATTTTCTGAGTGGTCAGAGACCTGTTAGGTCTACATGGGCCATGGGAGCTAGAAACCTGAAAAGCATCTCTGCTAACATCCAGAGTTGGGGTGATATTTGAGGATCATACCTACAGGTTCAACTAGGTAGTTTGTTTGTGAGTAGGATTGAGAATCCCACCACCTATACCTAAATATACACTGAACTGAAATTTGAATAAATTTACCCTTTTAAAATTTAACTCTTCAAAGATAGGGATTATCCTTTTTTAAATATACTAGAGGCCTGGTGCACAAAATTTGTGCATGGGTTGGGAGAATGGGGGAAGAAGAGTTGTGTGTCCCTCAGGCCAGCCTGCACCCTCTCCAATGTCAGACATCCCTCTCACAATCCAGGACTACTGGCTCCCAACTGCTCACCTGCCTGCCTTCCTGATTGCCTCTAACCACTTCTGCCTGCCAACCTGATCACTCCCTAACCACTCCCCTGCCAGGCTGGTTGATTTCTAACTGTTCCCCTGTCAGCCTGATTGCCCATATGTGCCCTCCCCTACAGGCCTGCCCCCCCCCAACTGCCCTCCCCTGCAGGGCTGGTCCCCCCAACTGCTGTCCCCTTGCAGACCTGGGTCCCCCTGAACTGCTCTTCCCTGCAGGCTCAGTCGCCCCCAATTTATCTCCCCTACCAGCCTGGTCACCCCTAACTGCCCTCCCCTGCAGACTGGATCGCCCCCAACTGCCTTCCCTTGCAGGCCTGGTCCCTCCCAACAACCCTCCCCTGCTGGCCATCTTATGGCGGACATCTTGTGTCCACATGGGAGCAGCCATCTTGTGTGTTGGAATGATGATCAATTTGCATATTACCCTTTTATTATATAGTATAGAGGCCTGGTGCACAGGTGGGGGCTGGCTGGTTTGCCCTAAAGGGTGTCTCGGATCAGGGGCAGGGTTCCATTGAGGTGTGGGGCAGCCTGGGCGAGGGGCCTGTGGTGGTTTGCAGGCCGGCCACATCCCCCTGGTGACCCAAGCAGAAGCCCTGGTATCTGGTATTTATTTATCTTCTTTAATTGAATCTTTGTAGCCTTGAGCAGAGGCCAGGGCAGGCCAGCGTGGATGGGAAGCTTGACTTCCTCCATCGTCAGGAGCAACCCAAGCCTCCTGCTTGCTCCAGCTCCATGGCCGCTGCCGTATTTGTTGGTTTAATTTGCATACTCACTCCTGATTGGCTTATGGGCATGGCTTGTGGGTGTGGCAGAGTTATGGTCAGTTTGCATACATCTTAGATAGACAGTGATTGGAAAACTCATTAGACAACAGAGTCAAATATCAACAGTACAATGATTGAAATTTCTTTTGAGAGCCAAATATTTTAAACTTAAACTTCTTCTAACGCTACTTCTTCAAAATAGACTCGCCCAGGCCGTGGTATTTCGTGGAAGAGCCACATTCAGAGGGCCAAAGAGCTGCATGTGGCTTGTTAGCTGCAGTTTGCCAACCACAGAGATAGGATAAGGAATCTGAGACTCATCATGAGTTACTTGCCAGAGGTTCCATAATTTATAAGTTATAGACCTAAGATAGAAATTGAGAGTTGTTTGCTTCTCCAACCCATGGGATGGGGACAAGGAACTAAAATAGTATGCCAAAAGGGGCCACAATAAGCCTATCCAGGTTTAAGCTGGTATAAGAAATCAAGGCTCTATAAATTTGATCACCTTGGACTAGAAAAGAAGGCAAAGAATGTGCTAGTGTGAAAAGTAAAGGGAACAGATGAATATCAGGAGGCAGTGGCCCAGAAAGCAGTCTTTCAGTTGGGCTTAGAGTTTAAGTACTTCCAGAAACAAAACAGAAGTGCACCCTTTTTTGCTTATTTGCTTTTGTAATTACAGTTGGTTAAAAACTTGGGATACCACATAGGAATTTGAGTTTTCCACATCATAACATAAACTGTCTCTGCAATATTGCTTTAGAAAAATAATATTTGCACTAAAATGTCAGCTTTTCCTGGCTCAAAAAGGAGGAAAAAAAGAAAAAAGAAAGAAAAAGAAAAAGAAAACCTCTCTTAGCTGCACAGTATGTGTGGCAAATGTCTGTTAAAATTAATTTTTTAAAAATATATTTTTTTTTGATTTTTTACAGAGAGGAAGAGATAGGGATAGAGAGTTAGAAACATCAATAAGAGAGAAACATCGATAAGCTGCCTCCTGCACACCCCCTACTGGGGATGTGCCCACAACCAAGGTACTTGCCCTTGACCGGAATTGAACCTGGGACCCTTCAGTCCGCAGGGTGATGCTCTATCCACTGAACCAAACCAGTTTTGGGTGTTAAAATTAATTTTTAATAAACTGATGTGAATGTAGTCCCCTTCTTACCCCCGCCACGTGTGAAAAAGCAGCCACACCCCAACAGAATAGGAGGAATAATCTAGAACTATTTCAAGTTTTATCTTTTTTATGTATGAAAATGAAATAAAATAATAATAATATTGAAAAAAATAATTTGTAGGTTTCTGTTTTTTGAGGAGAAGTTAACATTTTTCAGTTTTATTGAGAAATAATTGACATCACTATATAGCTTTTAAGATGTGCGGTATGATGGTTTTATTTACATATGTCATGAAATGATTACTATTATATATCCATCATCTCATGTAGATACAATAACAAGAAAGGTGCTTCTATCCATTTTTGACCATGGGGTATTGAAGTCTCCAATTTTTGCTTCACATATTTTGATGGCCTGCTATTGGCAGCATAAATGTTTATAACTGTTACATCTTCTTGCTGTGTTGAAGTTTTTAATAAACAATGTCCTTCTTTGTTTCTTGTAACCTTTTTTATTTAAAGTCTATTTTGTCTCATTTAAGTATAGCCACTTCTATTTTCTTTTGGTTACCATTTGCATTGAGTATATTTTTCCATTCTTTCACTTTCAACCTGTTTGTGTTTTGGAACTAAAGTGAATCTCTTGTGGATAGGATCATGTTTTTGTTGTTGTTGTTTTATCCATTCTCTGTCTTTTGATTAGAGTTTAATCCATTTACATTTAATATAATTACTAATAAGGAGGTTCTTATTTCTGCCATTTATTGTTTGTTTTCTTTATGTCTTATAGCTATTTTGTCCCTCATTTCTTGCACTCTTGTCTTGGATCTAGTCCTAAATTGATAGCTATTAACTATGTGAACTTGGATATAACACTTGTTAGTGGGTCTGATCTTGGGAAAATCATTTATCCAATTCTTAATTTTCTCATGTGTCAAAAATACAGATAATAATAAACACCTTGGAATAAACAAATAACACAAAAAGGCATCGGTGGTAAATTGCCTGATACTGAAATTCTATTTCCTTTTCTTGGGCAAGGTCAGTTACATCTTTGGCTTTAACTTTCCTAAATCTACAATAATATTAGTAATAACATTTACTATGTACCAGCCACTGTTCTCAGTGTGTTATATGCATATATTAATTTACAAGAACCTTATGAGGTAGACACAACTTGCCTGGTTACTCGGCTAAAAAGTGAGAAGGCCTTGATTTGAATTTCAGCAGTCCAGTTTTTAATCAGACTGTGTTTTTAACCAGAGCCTGTGTTTTTAACCACCACACTATACTGCCTTTCTAAAGGAAGGAGTTATAAACTGTATTGGTTGGTTATTGCCTGTTATGCTGCATAATAAACAATCACAAAATCTCAGAGGCATAGAACAGTATTTGATCACATGTTGAAATATTTGTTAGGCAATTCTGTTGATGTTGGCTTGCTACCTCACATCACTGAGGGTTACTTGCTGCAGGGTGTGGCTGGGACTGGACAGTTTGCTCCTGTTCCAAGTGACTCTCATCCTGCAACAATCAGACTAGTCTAGGAATATTCTCATGGTTCATCGTAGAGACATGCTTGCTACAGGAAATCATGTGACTGACCCTTGAGTCAAAGCAGGAGGATATTATAAAGTCACAAAGACAGTGGGTATAAGAATGTGTCACTTGACACATTGAGGTTGTTTTGTACTTTACCACAAATGCCAAGGCCCAGGGTTCCAAAATTCTTGTATATTAAGGATGAATTCTAAAAGTTGACCTCAAAAATAGCATTTCTGATAATTTAATAGAAAACTCAGAAAACTTTAAAGTGCATACAGACATATACACACACACATGAATTTATAGAAAGTATGCAGAACTTCTTCCAGGAATACTTAAATCAGCCAGTAGTCCAAAGGGAGTAGTGGTGGTGGTGATGATGATAGCTAATGAGCTATCAACCTTTATAAGCTTGCTATATGACAATCCTATTCTCAGCACTTTACATATAGTAACTCAGTAACTCCCTCAATCTTTACAACAACCCTATTAAATAGGTACTATGAATAGTTTCCATTTTACAGATGAAGAAACTGAGAAATTTAGTAATTTTTTATAAGATTTTCACATAAAGTAACTTTCAAAAGTTTCTTATTTTTTATCAAATTATTTCAGACCTCTTTGCCATGTAAGAACTTCTGTAATCTGGCCCTGCCCAATTCAATTCTATGTCATTTCCATTGCTATGAGGTATAACTTTAGACAATTAAAAATCTAGGATTTTGTAGATGGGATGCATACATTGGAGGGAGCTGAACTAGTTGCATTAGAGATTTATTCCAGTTTCAAGAATATGTGATTATGCTGAGACTGGTTTGGTTCAGTGGATAGAGCGTCAGCCTGCGGACTGAAGGGTCCCAGGTTCTATTCCGGTCAAGGGCATGTACCTTGGTTGTGGGCACATCCCCAGTAGAGGGTGTGCAGGAGGCAGCTGATCGATGTTTCTCTCTCATCGATGTTTCTAACTCTATCCCTCTCTCTTCCTCTTTGTAAAAAAAATCAATGAAATGTATTTTTTTTTAAGAAAAAGAATGTGTGATTATGAGTCCTTTTAAGTTTTTCCTCATATGTATGTGCAACTCTAAAAAATTTGCAAGGCTCTTTCATCTGAATAACTAAACTTATTCCTAGAAGAATAAAGTATCTACTAAAGTTATTTTATCCCTCTTTCCTAAAAGTAGACTCCTTTGTTTTGGTTTTCTCACTCTATAATCAGAGATCTCTGCACTGATGTAGAACTGTTTTGAAACTAAAATTGTTTTATTTAGTCACATAATCAGAAATACCAGATGTAAATGTTTCTGAGGTATGATGTGAATGACATTAACATGTCATTTAAAAGGAGTATTTCTAATTCAACTGTGTTCCTGTTTCAGATGTTTGAGAGTTGAGAGGTACATTTACTTGCTTAGTATTTTGAGATGATTGCCTGACTACATTGCTATTATATTCAACAGGTGGGTTTTCAGAAAAGACAAATGAATGGAGCTTAGAAGAGGAGGAACCAGTGAAAAAGGCAGGACCAGTCCAAGTCCTTGTTGTCAAAGACCACCATTCTTTTGAGTTAGATGAAACTGCACTAAATCGAATCCTTCTCTCAGAGGCTGTCAGAGACAAGGAGGTTGTTGCTGTATCTGTGGCTGGAGCATTTAGAAAAGGAAAATCATTCCTAATGGATTTCATGTTAAGATACATGTACAGCCAGGTATGTAAGAATTTTTTTTTTAAGTTTTCTGCTTCCGTGCTGTCACTTTGTGCTTTTATTTAGTAGTGTCTATTATTTCTATTTCTATTATTATGTATCCTAAATATGCACTAGTTTAAAAATGCTATGCTGTAATCATTCCATCTTTGATGCTTTGGGCACCAAATTACATAGGCCCTTTTTGCCTGAAGCTACTACCTAGCTACATTACCCTTAGAACATATCTTATTTTTTACACTTAAAAATAGGTACTACATAGTAATATGATTATAAACTTTACATGTTCTAGGGTTTAAATAACTTATTTAAAAAGGTCAAATAACTTTTGTCATAACATTTTATTATAACCATTTCCCCCCAATTTATTATAATTTTCAAGCATGCAACAAAGTTAAAAGAGTTTTACAGTGAATAGCTGGGTATTCACTAATGAAATTCTACCACTAACATTAATATTCTTGCCTTACCTCATATGTCTCTAGTATTTCCATTCATCACTTCATCTTAATTTACTGATTCATGTCAAAGTAAATTGCTGATGTCAGTATACTTCCCATAAATTTTCTCAATATACATCATTATTATACATTTTAGTATTTATTTATTTCTCTTGTTATAAAATTTACATAGCTACATGCGCAAATCTTGAGTGCAATTGCTTATTTTTTTTGAAAATGTGTATACTTCTATAACCCCAAAGTCTATTTAGTATATCTTGTCTTTACTCCAGAAAGTTCTCTATGATCTCCTCCCACTCATTTCTTACCCCACCCCCAGAGGTAACAGTGTCATAACATTTGCATCAGCAGCATGTCACAGAAATGAGATATTCAGGACCTAGGATAAATAAAAAGCAGAGGGATAAATAAGAGGTTGGAGCTAGGGAGCAGAGGGTTGGGTGTGGAGAGCATACCAGTATTTTTTCTACCTTTTACCCCTAGCAATTCTGATGCAAATACGAATTTTGAGGCAGAATGGACACACTAACCAAGAAATTTGATTCTATGTATTTATACCATAATTATCTATTTTGGATTGATCTTTTCTAGTTGGGTTATTTTTGAACAATTTTGTAACGTTAACATCATATGTCTATTATCAGTTCAAACAAATCAAGAACAAAACTGCTAAAATCTCAGGCTTTGAAAGCAAGAAAAACAACATTCTCTATTTCTATCATACCAATATTAGTGTGTTATAACATAGGTGGTAAAATTGAGTGAACAAAATTAGTATACTTTACATTCTTTGGGATTATACAGTTTTATACATGTTCATTATTTTAACTGTTAAACATTTGAATGAAATGTTCAATAACCCTTGTCATGTTGCTTATGTTAAATAGCATTTTCTCAGATAAAAGCTCAGATTTATTTTCTTTTTGTCTTTCTGTAGCTACTACTAGATACCTTTCCTTTTGCTATTATTCATTTCCTCCTTCCCCAATACCAAAGCATTTGTGTATATCCTGATATACTATATTCTTTCATATCTTTATATCTTTGTTTCTGGAATGCTCTCCCCAAGTTTGCTCACCTGGAAAATTCCTAAACATCCTTCAGTGTTTAGCTCAAACATCACCTCTCATTTGAAGTCTTACATAACCAAGAGTTAATTATTTCTTTTTTATGTTTCCATTTATGCCTAATATATACTCCCATTTTAACTGGCATATATAATATAATATTAATTAGTTAGCATGTCTATCCCCTGTTAAGTTATGAGCTTCCATTGGTCTGGAATATCTTTGTGTCCCCAGGACCTAGCATAACATATGGCAGATGATTGCTTCCTCTGTAATTAATTTTTGGATTAATTAGTAAAGTAATTGTGTCAGTACAGTAGATGAGCATATGTTGTTTCCTTTTGGCTAGAATTAGAAAGAGAATGCAAATCTTAATGGATGAGTAGAAAATACTATGATATACTACACATCTGGTTCCCTATCAGAGACTTTCTTAATTTTATAGGAATCAGTTGATTGGGTTGGAGATTACAATGAACCATTGACTGGTTTTTCATGGAGAGGTGGGTCTGAACGAGAGACTACAGGAATCCAGATATGGAGTGAAGTCTTCCTTATCAATAAACCTGATGGCAAAAAGGTATGATGTGAACTTCTTAAAAAAAATAGATTTTTCACTTGCAACAGTTATCACTTTTCAGGACCCTCAAAAGTTCTATTTTGAAAACTAATTTTTGGCCATTTGACATGATATTTTAAAGGGAAGTCGGTAGCATTCTATTGCATATTTCCTATTTTCCTTTCTAGGAGTCACGATAAGCAAAATTATAGAAACAATGGAACAGCAGATCAGCTAACATCTAAACTTTGTTTCAATGATGTTTCTGTTAGGGTGGTTTACGAGTGAAAGTTAATCATTATAGTATTCAGCAACTAATTACACTTTTATTTTCTGTGGCATTCATGGCACGCGTAAAAATATTCATTATTAATGACTTATTTTAGTTTTCATGATGTTAACTTTTGTTAACCCTAAAACTAGTCTACATGTTCTATAAAATGTCAATAATGTTCTCTACTTGCCTATAGGTTGCAGTGCTATTGATGGATACTCAGGGAACTTTTGATAGTCAGTCAACTTTGAGAGACTCTGCCACAGTATTTGCCCTTAGCACAATGATCAGCTCTATACAGGTATGGAATGAAATAAATCCATATTTATGGATGTTTCTTTCACTAAAAATATGAATATATATATTTCTACATATGTGTGCTAGTGAGACAAGCAACAGAAATGGTAAATCATGTATATTATTTGACTTAATTAGCATACCAGTTCTAATTATTTCTGTAACAGTAGAATTGTTTTGATTATTTTCATCTAATTTCTGATAAGTTTTCAAATTGCCTACTTTAGTCAGAAAAGATGATAGTATCTTACCAGAGGCCTGATGCACGGAGATTCGTGCAAGAGTGGGCCTTCCTTCCCTGCTGCCAGCACCGCCTTCGCTCGAGCTGGGAGCCGCCTTTCCGCCTTCCCACGCTGCCCAGAGGCCCCGAGAGGCTGGGGCGGTGCGTCAATTTGCATCTTTCTCTTTTATTAGTACAGATTGATAAATTTTTTTTCTGTTTAGAGCATGTAATAAACTCAATAATATTAAATCTTAGTTAAGTTATATTAATTGAAATAAGATTTATAAATGCAAAATTTCATTTTATGTAGCTAGTAGAAACATTTCCAAATGTAAAAACCATGTATATGTGCTCATAGCTTTTTAAAACATATTATTATACACTTAGGAAAGTAGCTGTCTTCTTGTAAAAATTTTAATCTTTTTTCTTTCTCTGCCTTTTCTTAAAGTATTGTCTGTGAGGTTATTGTAGGCTTTATAAGTTGTCCTAAATTACTTGGAGAATTTTACTATGGTAATAGAACACATAGCATAAAACATTTTTAAGCCAAATTAAAATTATTTTCTATTTATTGTAAAGAGCAAAATCTGATAGTAGATAAGAAATATACAGTTTTTAAAAAAGGTAAGATAGTTTTAAAAGTTAGGGAAGACAAAGTGGTTAGGATGAGTAAGTGAAGGCTAAAATTATAAGCAAGTAGAGAAAATGGAGCGAGTGAACTGGCAATAAAGGCTCGGTATATGGGTAGGACAACCGTGAGAGGGTTAATATAATAGAAATAGAAGGAAGGCTGAAATAATTTTTATAAAGGACTTTAAGATAAAAAGCCATGATTATAACTTATAGTTGACTAGTTCTTAAAATTATACTTCTTAAATGAATAACCCTTTAAAATACCAACTTACCTAATTTCTTCATAATTGACAGTATAACCCATTTACACAAGCCAATTAAAACAAGATTGATTCTGCCTTTGTAATGTTTATTATTCACTATGTATATTTTACCTGAAGACATTAAATATTTTCACTGAAAATGTAAGTCCTTTTAGTAATGACTATTTATTACTATCTGAGAAATGATCTATTTAAAAATATATTATCTGTAACAATACATAAAGATGTACACATCCTTAAGTTTCCTTTGACGTTCCTGATATTTATCCTCCTCAAAAAATGTAACTTTGATACAGTGATCTGTTCATGAAGTAATAATTCATACGTTTATGGGTGTGGACATAATATTCAGAACCTAACTTCCATATGATGAAACTTTTTGTAGAGATAACTCAGATAACCAGTTTTGAAGAAATCAACATAAAATTTTAAGAAAACTTTATGGGTTATTCAGATTTAGATGGCCATCCTATGTAATAAAGAAGAAATATGCTAATTGACTGTCATGCCCTCACAAAGGTGGCAGCACCCACAGCCGATAAGGAGGGAATATGCTAATTGACTGCCATGCCCTCAAAAATGGCAGTGCCCACAGCCACAAGATGGTGGTGCCCAGTCCCCTCAGCCCTGGGGGGGCAGCAGATGTGCAGCACGGCTGAGCCCACTCCTGGTGGGTCCACCTGCTCTGCACACCTGCCTCCTGAATCCCCCAGTCCCCTCAGCTCCCCAGCCGCCCAGGGCCAGCCCAAGGCATAAGCAAGCCGCCGATGGTGGCTGGCCAAATGCCCAGGGCCAGTCTGAGGTGCAGGCAACCTTGGATGGCAGCTGCCCAGCTGCCCAGGGCTGGCCAGAGGCATGGGCAAGCCTCGTATGGTGGCTGCCCAGTCGCCCAGGGGCACCTAACACTCAGGTAACCTAGACTTGGGCTGCCGGCAGTGGCAGCAGCAGAGGTGTGATGGGGGCGTCACCTTCTGCCAGGTCGCCTCCCTTCCCTGAGGGCCCCCTGATTGTGAGAGGGGGCATGCCAGGCTGAGGGACCTCCTCCTCAGGTGCATGAATTTTAATGCACCAGGCCTCTAGTTATTTATAGGGAGTGTTTTATTGGCTAGTTGTTGAGTTCATAAAGTATTTTTCATATTCTGCCTCCAGACATGTGACTAATGCATTTCTAGAACAATTTTATGATAATTGAACATTGTTTTTTGTTTCTCAAGCTTCTTATATAATACTCCTCAGTTATGATCTTATAAATATCATTATATAAGAATGTATGTTAGAGTTGTTCACATTTATGATAACTGGTATTTAGAAAAAATAGAGAATGACAAAGTAATGCTTAGGATGATGCTAATTATTTCCTCATTTTAACTTTATTTCTTAATCAAGGTATATAACTTATCCCAAAATGTCCAGGAGGATGATCTTCAGCACCTCCAGGTAACAATATTTATAATCTTTTTTGATATCTCATAATCTTTTAAGCATGCATAGTGGAACTTCAGGAGAATTTAGAAACATAACCAAATGGAGATTGTCCTCGTTCCAGGTTTCCTGTTCCCCCTTGTATGGTTATATTCTGTCTAACTCAGTTTCCAAATGCCTTTGTTTCTGTAAAATTACTTGCTATTGACCTGCATGTGAAACTATGTGGCAAGTTGGAATGGAAAAATGATCTTTGGCTTTTAAAATGACCCAAAATATGAAGTAGAAGTCTTAAGATCAAGGATTTAATATTTGCCAGTGTGATTCCAGTTGTATGCCCATTTGTCCCTTCTGTGGACCACTTTATACCTAAGAACTCTGAGGGGCTTACCTGATGATAACTCATAGAATTCTATTTTAGATCTGAATGAGACCTCAGTGATTCCATAGTGTAATGGTTAGCACTCTGGACTCTGAATGAGACCTCAGTGACACCCAATTTATACTTCATATTTTATACATGAGGAAAGTTTGGCTGAAATAAAGAAATGACTTGCCTAAATTCTTGTGGCTAATTAGTGGTGGAGTGGGAGTAAAAATATGATTATCTGACTGGGCTTAGTGTCTCTTCTCCAAGCACCATTTAAATCTCAAGTAAAAGATTAGCTATTCTTAAAGATACTTCACATCTCTGTAACACCCTGCTCCCTTTCAATTCATGTTATATTGGTTACATAGGAAAGCCTATTGTTTCTCTGATAGTTGTCCTCTGTGTATTTTGTAGAAAATTTTGCTTTCAGTATATTAATTAATTTTTGCAATGAGAACCATTTACAAATTTAACAGAAAACAAAGGATGATGAAGCAGGGTGATCTCTAATGTCAGAAAAATCATTTTGAATTTACAACCAGTATTACTCCCAAATATATTTATTTTCTTCTTTTTAAATTAGTTTTATTTATTATTTATAAATTTTTTTATTGATCTTAGAGAGAGGAAGAGAGGGAGGGAGAGAAAGAGAGATAGAGGAAACATCAATGTATGAGAGAAACATCAATACATTGCCTCCCATGCATGGAAACCTGGGTCATGTGCCCTGACCAGGAATCCAACCTGCCACCATTTGGTGTAGGGGACATTCCAACCAAGCCACACTAGCCCTGTATATTTCCTGTAAATCTCACTGACCTTTATGACAAATAGGCCATATGCTGAGTAAGTGTTAAATTTGTTGTTGCTCCCTTTTTTTATTTCAATTTGTGTTTTTATTTGATTTGGTTTGTGTTATATATTTCTTATACAGTAATAAATATAATAACTTCTTTAAGCATGTACTGTTCAGTACCAGTTTTAGGGATTTCTTAAAGAAGGACTGATTTTGGATTTTTATATTGAGTAAATTGTCTTTTTTGAGATCACTTAAAAATTTTCCTATAAGTGACAATATCTCAGTCTTCCTCAAAAAAGATTGTGTATTCAATTTATGTTAGTAGATAATTCTAATGAGAGTGTTTAATCCCTGACCAATTGCCTTTTACTTTTTAAAATATGTTTTTATTGATCTCAGAGAGGAAGGGAGAGGTAGAGAGAGACAGAAACATCAGTGATGAGAGAAAATCATTGATTGGCTGCCTTTTGCACGCCCCTACTGAGGATTGAGCCCGTAACCTGGGCATGTGCCCTTGACTGGAATCGAACCTGGGACTCTTCAGTCCCCAGGCTGACATTCTATCCACTGAGCCAAACCAGCGTGGGCCAGTTGCTTTGTAAATATGATACTCCAGACTTTCATTTAACTACTCTAATCAAATATCTAATAATTATCCTTTGCTTCCTATATTCCCATAGCCCCCATGAAGAGGGGAAAGGATAGTAATCCTCTGTGTCAGCTTTCTTCCCCAGCTCCGAAAAGTCACTGGGGCTTGTTAATCTTGTATATCTAGTGGCATTTCCTGTGCACACATGGGAAAACTCTTATCAGACGTGCAATCACAGTCACTCCTTTAGGTCGTGATCTCCAAAATCTTCCATTTCTGACAACATAAAAACTGGTATGGTGCCTCTCAATTGGGCACAGTAAAAAATATTAGTCAGCAGTATACTTGATGTTTTGATTTTTAAGCCAAATACCTATATGACTTTGTAATAATCCAGGCCATTGTGTGTCCTCAGGCAAGAAGCGCGCACACACACACACACATATATGTACATATATGTATGTGTGTGTGTATAAATATATATTGATAGATAGATAGATAGAGATATGTGTGTGTGTATAAATATATATAGATAGATAGATAGATAGATAGAGATATTTGTGTGTGTGTGTGTGTGTGTATGTATATAAACAATTTATTGCAAATTCTATTTTGAAAGGTCATTTAACATGTCTTTCCCCATTGTTCCTACAAAAAACTGTCCTATATCTATAATAATAAAAAGTGTAATATGCTAATTAGACTGGACGTCCTTCAAGACGGATGAAGCTGGGGCTGCGAGGGAGGCCTGGGTCCCGGGTGCCTGAGGGAAACCGGTACCAACCAGCCGGGGAAGGAAGGCTACTCTGGCACAAGTTTTGTGCATTGGGCCTCTAGTTCTAGTTATAAAAGATGTTAGCTTTAAAATGGAAACTTTATTTTTAAAATATCAAATTACTGTACTGTTTTATCTAATACTTAGTTCCTTAAAATGATTATTGTAGCCCTAACCAGTTTGGCTCAGTGGATAGAGTGTTGGCCTGCAGACTGAAGGGTCCCAGGTTCTATTCAGTTCAGGAACATGTCCTGTTTCAAAACTGCGAAGATTAAAAGGGCATGTATCTTGGTAGTGGGCACATCCCCAGTTGGGAGGTGCAGGAAGCAGCTGATTGATGTTTCTCTCTCATCAATGTTTCTAACTCTCTATTCCTCTCTGTAAAAAAAAAAAAAAAAAAAAAAAAAAAAAAAAAATCAATAAAATATATATATTTTTAAAAGATTATTGTAATTTTAAGATTGGGGAAAAATATGAATGGAAGAAAGCCCAAAAGTAAAACTTTGCAGATACTGAAGTTTTCTTTGTGCATATGTGTTTGTATGTGTGTCTTTGTATGTGTGTGTGATTTTCCTTCTAGCTTTTCACTGAGTATGGCAGACTGGCAATGGAGGAAACATTCCTAAAGCCATTTCAGGTAAGTTGGGGTTAACTGATGATAAATTCCTATTAAAATTTAGCAGGTATTTTAATTAATTGTGAGGGTCTTTTTCTCTGTTTTAAAATTTCACTTCAGAAGCACTTTCGAATACCTACTTAATGCTATTTGATGCAAGAAGATAGCAATGTGGAAATAAAAATTTAACAAACTGTTTTTTTTAAAAGGGGAGGAAAAAATAAAAGAATGAATAGGTATTTTGATTCCTGCAAAAATATCAGCTTTTCTCCAACCCTAGAGATGTCATAAAAAAATAAACATCTATGGAGTGAAAAGGTTGCCTCTTTACAGTATTAAGGCATTTTTAATATAGCTAAAAAATGACTATAACTAAATTAATAGCATATTGTTCAAGAATACATATACTTATGTGTTAAAACCATATTGAAAGCAAAATTTAGGGTAGTGGTTATCACTGGAGAGGAAAAATAGGGATACATCAGGGAGGGATACACAGGAAGCTTCACTGTTATTGAAATGTTCAATTACTTCAGTGGGTTTGTGGATTCACAGGTTCATTTTACTAATGTGCAAAATAATATATATATATAAGTTATTTTTTAGGTGTTGTATTATAAAAATTTTAAATCTTAAAAAGTCAATAATATGTCTCAAAACAGCAATTACCAACTAGCAAATGTAAGTTATTTTGTATGTGTGCAGTTGGTTAACACATTTTTGGAGGATGTCAGTTCTCATTGATAATCAGATAAAAATTAAAATAATGAGATACCACTTTATACTCTTTAAATAGGCAAAAAGTGTAACATATTATAGCTACAGTTTGGATAAATGAGAAAGCCAGGACTTATTGGTGAAAGTCAGATTGGAGCAACCGTTCTGTGGAGCAGGAGAAATGTGTAAGGATATTGACTGGAGCATTGATAGAGTAGTGGCAGTTGGAAGTTGGAGGCAATTTAGTGTCCATCACTAGAAGAATGAGTACATAAGAGCATACTCTGGGATATTTTGCAACATCCAAAGAGAGTGAACCAGAAATATAAGGAGTAACACGAATAATAGAGTGTTTAAATTCATACTGAATTAAGCAGAAATTTTTTTTAGATCTATAACATACTATTTATGATTATTTAAAACACTAAATAAACAAAATATACATATTAGAATTAAGAACAGAAAATTGAGTGATGGGGAATGGGGGTCTTGGGAAAATATGATAAAGAAAAAGGGGCCTTAGCATGGAGAGGTGATGGTATTCTGAGTGAAAGAGTATGAATCCCCCAGGGTCTGGGGAAGCAGGTGTGATAAGGTAGAATAAAACCAGTTGCTGCTTACAATCTTCTGTATGGTTTACAGTACCTAATAGATTCTGTTGTCTTTTTAAAAAGTATTTGTCAGGCTGATAGTTGAAGTGTTGTATGGTAATTAGGATATTTGCTTTGATTTTTGTCTTCTCTGAATTTGTTATTCTCCAGACCCATTGGTATAGACTGGGAAAGTGCATGGTAAATTCTGGAAAAGAATGTTAAATCTTATCAGCAGGCATCATTGCTGCTTACACTTGGCCAGGTATACTAAAGTAAAAGAGACCAAGCAACGCTCAGGAGGATGGATGGATGGATGGATGGATGGATGGATAGATAGATAGATAGATAGATAAAGTCTATCTGCTTTTGGTTAAAAATACTTGTTGGTAAACTGTTGGCATTATGAAATGTCAATAAGAAAAGTTATAACTAAATGAGTCAACTAACTCCTAAACATGTTTGGATGTATAAATTCAAGTATCTGAAATTAAATTGAGAAAATCTTTAAGTAGCAAACATGGCTTCCAACACTACTTAATAATATTTAAGATTAAAACAACCAAATTCAAACCAAAAATACTATAAATTTATGAAATTAAAAGATAAGATGCAAATATATTAAATCTCAGAACATGTAAGATAGCAGCAAAATAATCCACATTTAAATTAGCATGGAGAAAAAAAATCCAAAATAAAATAATTTTGAAATAAAAGTTCAAATAAGTGCAAGCTTTCTTAGCAGAGCACTTCTGTCCTCTTCCTCACTCCAGAAAATTCAGTTTTTTCTATTGTGAATTAGTGTCACCTCTATTACCCACATAAAACATGTATTGATATATCCTACATATTTATAATATTAATAGCTATATAATGTATTTTCATATTAGTATGCCATAATTTGTAAAGTCATTTACCAATTGTTGAGCATTTGTTTTGTTTTTTTCACTGTTACTCATAGTAGTGCTATAACACTGATTATTGAATAATTTCCCAAATTATTAGTCTCCAAAGGGAAGTTAACAAAGGTTATGTTTTTCATCAATGTTGAAAAATGCTGGCTTTTGAAATAAGGGCCAAGATTCATAGAATTCCATACACAAAAAATGTAAAGCATACAAATTATCTAGGGAGAGTGTAGGGTCAATGGGTGTGTTTTTATTATCTGGCTCATACCAGTTCACAAGAGTTAACTAGTAAATATTCAGGAATTATGTAAGCCAATTATGAAACAGTTAGTAGCTTGAAATCAGCCATAGTGTGCATACATAAATTGTCGAATGTTAGAAATCAAGTCCTTTTGCTGTTGTTGGAGAGGTAGTTTACTAGCACATCATTGGATGGGAGCAATAGGTAAGGAAATAGGGAAATTGACACTGTAGAGATAGATAAATAGAATATAGATTGTTGATTTGAAGAAATAAGACTTCATATTTGATCCTATTCTACACATGGTCCTCATTATGTCGACTTGGGAAGGTGTCCAGTGAAAAAGACCAAGAAATGAAACTAAAATCACCCAAGAAAAATGCAAAATATAGCCAAATCCACATATTTGGTTTCATTTATCCTGGTTCATGAACTTCTGTTTTGTTGCTTCATAGCTAACTTCTATTTTCAAAACACATGTTTTAGGTGTAATAGTTCTGAATACAAGTTGTTATATTTTATTTTGACAAAAACTTTTGACAGAAATTGGCATATAATTAAAGATAGTGGACATATGTACTTTTAAATTCTCCTCTCCATAAGAATATCTTTTTCCCCACAAGAATCCACAAATCAAAACAAGAAGAGAGAGAGAAGAGAGGCTCTACCTTAGTGAAACAAGAAATATCCATAAGGCAAACTAAGAAGCATTCATTTTTAAGGAAAGAAGATGTGAGCCAAAAATTTTATATCCAGCAAAATTAACTTTCAAGTATAAATGGCACAAACTGTTATCAACATATAAGAATGCAAAAAATAGTGTTCCCATGAGCCCTTGATGAGAATTCTACCAAAGAATGCACTTCAGATAAGCAAAGATGACATAACTTTGATCAAGTCAGAGATAATCATAGACTATGTGCCTCCTGATAAAAGGACACTCTGCTTCCTATAGTCTTGCCAAAGAAATAAAACCTGTGTCAGACCAAGCCTCTGTCTCTAGCTGCCAATTTGCAGGAAACCCAGAGGACAAAGGAACATGCTGAACTGCTTCATGAATATGCAATCAGCAAGGTCCCAGTTATGGGAAATGCCACAGGTCAAATTCCTTGGTTCTTCAACAGATGAACTGTAAAGGGGAAAATGGGTGGAAGAGGAACCTGGAGATTAAATGAGAATTAAAAGACATAATTTTAATGGGTGAGTCTGAAAGATTCAGTTAGAAACTCAGAAAATATAAATTTTGTTTAAAACAATGAATTTAGAGAGAGGAAGAGTAAGAGAGAAACATTGATGCGAGGGAAAACATTGATTTGGTTTACCTTCCATATGCTGAGTGTGCCCTGGCTGGGAATTGAACTGGCCACCTTTTAGTACAAGACAATGCTCTAACCAATTGACCATACTGGCCATTGCAGAAAATGTATTTTTAGAAGGATCATTTAAAGATAGCTAATTTAATAAAATTATGATTTTTTTTCTTTTCTACCTGTATTTTTTTCAGAAACAAAAATTGAAATATCTCTTAATCTAATTTATAATAAGCATATTTTAATCAGTCCTTAGATCATAAACTACATATTTATACTTAACTTTGAGGAGCAGTGCAGCAGGGATTTTGAAGACCCAAGTTTACTGCTAATTCTTTCATCTTTGGCTGTGTGAATTTGGGCAAGTTACTTAATGTCAGATGAGGGTGGAGATGATTTTTAATATATCTCTTTTGAAAAGAATGATAAAGTATAACCTATCTCTTAGGGCTATTATAGAAATATATGAAATATCATGTGTACAATTCCTGGTATTGAAGCTGGCATATCACAGGCACTTTATAAATGAAAGCTAATATTACATTGGTTTCAATAGGTATGAAGTGGAGCCCAAGAATTCTGTATTTTAAAAAAGCCTCCCACGCTGAAACTGGTTTGGCTCAGTTGGATAGAGCGTGGGCCTGCGGACTGAAAGGTCCCAGGTTCAATTCCGGTCAAGGGCATGTACCTTTGTTGTGGGCACATCCCCAGTAGGTGGTGTGCAAGAGGCAGCTGATCGATGATTCTCTCTCATCGATGTTTCTAACTTTCTATCTCTCTCTCTTCCTCTCTGTAAAAAATCAATTAAATAAATAGTTTATTTTTTTTTAAAAGCCTCCTAAATTATTTTAATGATTGTTCTAATTTGGGAAACATAGTCACTGATAAATCCTTCTGAATGTGAACAAATATTTAACTTGAAGGATGATTATCAATGATTTTCTTAGAATAGTGGAAAAACTGGAAAATATCTAGGAGAAGGGCAAAATAAATTATGGTCTATCCATGCACTGAAATACCATATTGCTATTAAAATCAAAATCAAATAGCTAACAGAGCATTAACTAGATAACTAGGTAATGTACAAAACATTACAAATAAAAATTGTGAAGCTGAAACATTTCTAAACTATCAATAAAATAATGTTTTATAATAAGAAATTGGCTTCATTAGAAGAAAGACTGAATTAGCTTTCTAACAAAAATATTTCAAAATCTTCATATGAAGAAGTGATAAAATCATTTGCAGCCAAAAACTGTAGATGGAAAAATATATTAAAAGGAATGTTATCAATAGTTATTTTGCTGGGATGTGTGTGTGTCTGTCTATGTGTGTGTAAGAGAGAGAGTTGTTAGCTTTTTGGAATTAGTAATTTATTTTTCTCATTCTAAATAAATACTCACTTTTAAGCCCAATTTTGTATTCTTTTTCTTATTGAGCCTTCCCCCTACAGTTTGTGTAAGATTCAGGCCCCACAAAACCCAGATTACCACCCCTTTTTATACCCATAACGAGAACCCCTATAGAAGAGAGTGGGACACATGTAACAGAGAAAAAATATCTAGAGAGTAATAGACAAAACGTTCTTCAAATAAAACTTGAATCTTCATAAGAAGCTATTTGAAAACCACCAAGCTAAATGTATCCCACCAAGAAATGAGTCAGAGATGCCCTCAAATTGGCTCTCAAATTGGCACTATGTAACTAATCAATTTTGGGGCAGCTTTTGGTTTACATTTAGTGGAAATAGATAGAATGATCTAATAGAGGAGAGACTGCTCAGAGACTGTCAAATATTTTATGTTTGCTTTAATTCCACAATGTGGTAAAGAATATTTGAATAGTATTCTTTAATTGGTTTCAATTAAAAAGCAGTGGGAGGCAACTTGGAATATTTTTATCAATCCTTTCTTCAAATTATTTCGTAGAGTCTGATATTTCTTGTTCGAGACTGGAGTTTCCCATACGAATTTTCCTATGGATCTGATGGTGGCTCCAAATTCCTGGAAAAACGCCTCAAGGTTTGTTAGATATTTAGGTGCATGAAATTTCACCATTAGTAATCTAGAATTATTTTTGTTGAATGATTTGCTGAATACTTAGTAGCCAGAATCTCATTTGGCCCTCAGAGTATCTCTATGAATAAACTAAAACAGATACTTAATGAAATACTTTCAGAATTACAATTTTCAAATATTTTCAATAATTACGATACAGATTTATTTTGTAGGTATCTATAAAAAATGATTTATTTGAAAAAAAAACAAAGCTTTTAATTTGAAGAATTAACTTAGTTCAAGACCAACAGTGCAAATATCTGGGTTCATGTTTTAGCAGAGGTTTAAAAATCAATTTAACAAAAATATCTAATTTTGAAATCCCCAATCTTATAACATTTTGCTAGTAGTTCACAGAAAGTAAAATTAGAAGACTTTTCATTTTTTATGCCATGATAGTTTAATATTGACTGACTTACCTTGAACAGATAGCACACAAAAAGACCTACTGAGAAGTCTGGAAAAAAAAATTTAAAAATATTTCCTTTATAGAAATTGGAATTTATGAGCTTACCTTTTTAGGTTTATAATTACTTTTAGGGTAATTCATACTATTAACTGTCAAATACATGTACAAAGAGTGCAACTTAGATTATACACACCTATGTATTCAGATGCTTTCCTAGAATTTGAATGTATACCTACCAGGTGACAAGAAGCTGTTTTGAGTATCTCCTGAAAAGAAGGGAGGAATATTTTATGATCTATTCATGTCTTCTGTGAGTACTTTGAATAAATATAGGAATTTGTAGGAACTAGCTAGAGTAGGGGTGTCGAACTCAATCAGAGAAGGGGCCAAAATCTAAAATCCAGCCTAAATCGCTGGCCGAATGGTTTACTGAACAGTCATAAACTGTCATTGTGATGGAAACGCAGCGGAGTGCAGTGATGACAGCGCGGTGCGGGCCACATTGCAAGGCCTGGCGGGACGGATTTGGCCCGCGGGCCTTGTGTTTGACACATGTGAGCTAGAGTAAAACACCACTAATTTGTACTATAAAAAAGGTGAGGGCGGGGAGAAGTCCCATCTGAGTCGGCATAAGAATAAACATTTGTTAATTGTAATAATAATGCCTTATTTATGCTATACAGTTACTTAGGTATGGCAGTGTGACAGATTCACCCACGATTTTATTCGTTCTTTAATATCAGCCCTGATGTGTCATTTTTGTAAGTGTGGGCCAAGACAGAAAATATAAGATGCCACAGACTTCTTTGAAGTTCAGCTCATATTGAAAGTTGTTTAAACGTCAGGATGATTTACTGCTGCAGGTCTCAGGGAACCAGCATGAAGAACTACAGAATGTTCGAAAACACATCCATTCCTGTTTCACCAAAATTTCCTGTTTTCTGCTACCTCATCCTGGCTTAAAAGTAGCTACCAATCCAAACTTCGATGGAAAACTGAAAGGTTTGTCTGTCTTTTAATGAATAGGTTTACATCATTAGTCCGATATAAAAATGTCATTTATCTGCTGGGCTTGTGACTGCTTGCTCATTCACTGACGTGAGGCTGACGATTAGGAATTGTCAGAATTGTGACTCCGGGGCTGGTGCAGGAGCGCCTCCGTGGCGAGCTGCGGGGTTCTGTGGCTGCTGACTGTGCACAGCGGGAGAAGAGGCTGAACCCCGCGTTCACTGGGGAGGCAGTAGCCCGCCCCTTCCTGCAGCGGTTCCTGCTCACCTCTGTGCATTGAGAAATGCTCCTTAATGTCTTCCTGTGTAAATTTTCTTATTTACATTAAAGGGGAAAAATATATGTCTATATTCCTGGGATGTTGCATTAAGTTATATAATAAGAGATTGAAATATTTCATAGTACTGAATTGAAGTCCTTTAAAACTGCCACTAAATAATTATAAATAATTTTAAATAATTATAAATTATTAAAAGCTCCACTAAAAAGGAGATCCTCTTCTGATTGAGGAACAGTATTTAAAAAACCAAAAGCACTAGAGTGTTTTTTAAATAGTATGTATTAATAGTATGTAATTCTCTCTTGAACAGAGGCGTGTCTAACATTTTAAGATTCCAAAGCAACTGAACTTGTTAAAGAGGAGAGTGGAGGTAGGATATGGGGGAAAAGAAATTAATCTTTCCTAATAGATAATCACCAGGCCTTTAGATGTTTGTTTTGTAGTTAATACAGGTAGCACAAAGACATTTCTGACTTTTTTACTTGTAAACCTCGCATTGAGCACACCACTAAAGTTCAAACATTTGCTTAATATACGGTGGCCTTTCTGCGTTGTGCCATACATTTTTCAGCACAGTTGTTCTGAAAGGCCTTTCAAGTTACTTTAAAAATATATATATATATTATTGATTTTTTTACAGAGAGGAAGGAGAGGAATAGAGAGCTAGAAACATCGATGAGAGACAAACATCGGTCAGCTGCCTCCTGCACACCCCCTACTGGGGATGTGCCCGCAACCAAGGTACATGCCCTTGACCGGAATCGAACCTGGGACCTTTCAGTCTGCAGACCGACGCTGTATCCACTGAGCCAAACCGGTTTTGGCTCAAGTTATTTTTTAATGAAAAACAACATAAGTTATATCCAGTTTCATAGAACTGGCAGTTTTGAAAAGCAAACCTATCCCCCCAACTCTCAAATCGATCCATAGTATATACTCTCAGATACTTTATATTTAGCTATGGCAGTTAATATCATAAATAGGTCCCAAAATTTTCAATCATCAGCTTTGATTTTATACATGTTTTAAATGATTTTACCTTTATATAACAGAACAAATAGAGTAGGCTATTAATGCATGGATTCCAGGATCCTACAATTTCACTGTCCCTTATGAATTCCAATCTATGAGTGAACACACTGACCTCTTGATACTATGCAATTACTTAATGGCTTCCCTGTGTTTTGAATAAATTACATAAAAAGAGGGCTTCCCACAAGGCCTCTCTTTCTTCTCTGGAGTTGGGAGCTGTAAACAGGCAGAGAAGGGACAGGCCTTCCACAATAGTCTCTTATTGGACAAAAGTACTCTGTTTCTGTGGAATACAGCTACAGTTTTTAAATTAACTGGCAGGTTTGCAATGAAAGATTTCAAGGAGAGAATTTAAGACAAATCATGAAGATTTGTAATAAATCTGTCCTCCAAACTGATTTACATTTAAAACATGTATTGACCCACACAATTGGTTTACAGTTACCCATAAGTTATGAGTTTATCAAAGTAGCTGGCCCGAGAGAGAGCAGTGAAAGGCAGCTTCAGTTTCCCACCGAACATTCCATCGTTATGAGGTTTGTAGAACAACTGCAGGATCCTGCTGTGTGCTGAAATGTCCTGCTGCCTGGTTCTCCTTGGGCATGTATTGGTTTTCCATCCCATCCTGAATCTTATAATTTGGTGTGATTTCTATCCAGGATGTCTTGTGTGCTGTTCTCCACAGAGCTGGCATCTGAGTGTTTGCCGCTGGGGAAGAAATGTCTCTGAATATAAAAACGTGCAAAAATGGTTCTTTGATAATAGTTTCTCGCACACTTTTCACACACAGAAATAACTTTCAAGTTCATTATTAATAGTAATAATTGTTATAATAACTATTTGTTCATGGTCCCTCACATTATTAAATTTATCTAGTTCCAGTCTTATTTAAAACTTAAAATACTATGATTAAATTTAATTGCTGTTAGTTTAATAACTTCCCACATAGGAAATCAAAAGGACCAAAAGCACTGAATTACATTCATTCATGCTACATTTAACCACTCCTCACCAAGTGCCTACAGAATGCCTCTCCTCCTATAGCAAATCCAATCTTTTAGTTACCTTTTTTGGAGGTTGCTCTGTGTTATAGTGCCCCAAGTGGAATGACCGAGTAACCACACCATATATTGTGGAGCTGCATTCTTAGCAGCTCAGGTAGGACTTCAGAAAGCATAACCAACACCATCGCAAGGTGATTGTTGTTAAAAAGTTGTTTCTAATGATTTATCAGAGTCAGGTAATCCTGAGAAAATATCTACCTTGGTTAATTGATGTAGCAGCACTACACCAATGCATCATGTCCTCATTTATTGTGACAGATAACCACTCTGGCCTAGTCCCTGAATTCCTAGCAAGGGTTTACTCTTGTGGAAGAAATTATTGAAGAAAAGATGAAAACAGAACACCATCTTGAATAATCATCTACCCACACATATTCATTGATTAGTTCAATGAGCCAAAGCTGATTAGTATACTTTTGTAATTTGATCTGAACTGGACTGCAGATGTTTTGGATTATGTACTTATCAGTGGCCTGGTGCACGAAAATTTTTTGCTCTGGGGGGGAGAAGGGAAGGTGTCCCTCAGGCCAGCCTGCCCCCTCTCACAGTCTGGGAGCCCTCACAGGATGTCCTACTGATGGCTTAAGCCCAGCCTGGCCTCCAATCCGGTATATGGATACTTTCTGAAGGCAGCACAGACTCCTTCCTTACTTCTTTCCTCCGTGGTTGGAGAAGAGGGGACCAAAAGGTGGAGACAGAACTGTGGCCAGGCCTGGGGCTTTTGTAGGCAGCAGAAAGAGAGAGAGGGCTGGGGAAAGCCTAGACATGGTTTCCTTCAATTGTCCTTTCTTCCGGGCCCCTCCCTCCGTTTTTTTCTTGTCGCGGTGGATGCTCAGGCCTCGGAGCTACGGGAGCCTAATGACGGTGGCGTTCAGCCGCTTCACTTCTCAGCTGAACGTACAGCCGCCTCACATTCCAGGCGGGGCTGTTTTCAAGTGGCTAAAGCGCTGGGAATTCACACCTCTCGGCCTTTCCACTCTCGGTTTCCTCCTTGGTTCTGTTGCAAACTTCACTGAGACACCGAAGCAGCTCTGCCCGGGTAGTTCTGTACCAGCCCCCCCCCCCCCCGGGCCCCGCCCGGCACTCTTCCTCGAGGTCTCCAGGTCCACAGTCTGCACTCGGGGAGGTCACCCAGATCCCGTTCCCCCGGGCAGGTGGGGCGGGGGGCGGGGGGCTAGCTTGGAGAGCTGGAGGAGGATGGCAGAGTAAGAGTTGGTATGAACCAGTGCCTGCTCAGCCAGACTTCCTAAGCTCCCCACCGGGCTCAGGCCAGGCCCCTTACCCACACCAGGAGGACCTGGCTGAGGTCCCCTCCCTGCACCCAGTGCCCTCCTCCCTGTTCTACAACTGTGGATGGGAGCAGCGTGCCCACTCTGGACCCTGCCAGCCCAGCAGGCAGTGGTGCGGGAAGTGTGGCCTAGGATGCCAGTGGTCACAAGCCTCCTCCCCTTCCTGAGTGTGGGGCTGGGTCACAGCAGCTCGCAGCTGCCCCTGGATGTTGTGCATGGAGACACCACTCGCTGCTGAGCCACCTTCCAGCCCGGAGGCTGGGGTGGCCTTCGGCTCCTGTTGGCCCACCGAAGCCAGACTTGGCTTGGCTGCCCGCCCCCGCCGCTCAAGGGCAGTGCGTGCCCCACGGTGTCATTACCCTCATGAATCACCACAATCTGGCCGTCCCGTCCCAAGAAGTGGCTGTCCCGATCGCCCTGGCTCACTCCCCGGTGCAGTCAGGCCTGCCCAGCGAGCATGTAGGCGGGAGCGGGCTGCTGAGAGGAGGGAGGAGGGATTGCGGGCCGGGGCGGAAGTGGGGGACTTGGCGATGTAAACACAGCCCCCACACCATGCCGGTGCCCCTGCCCAGTGCCGCGCTCTCGGGCCTGGGGTGGGAGTGAGGACCTGGGGCTGCGGCCTGGAGTGGCCGTCACTGGCTTGGAGTTGCAGCGGTCGGTCAGGGAGGATGGGGGGTGCCATGAGGCAGCCTCACACAAGCCCCTGCGGCAGGTCCCTGCCTCTCTCTCTTTCCAAGAGGTCAGCAGCTCAGCCCGCTCAGCATGCTGTGCGTGCAGCCTGGCATTTGATCAAGTCTTTGGTCATTTTGGATGTTATGGACACTGGCTCTTTATATATACAATACATATATAGTGTTCAACTAATACTGTTAGCAAGAGATAAATTATGTTCATATATTATGAATCCAAAATTGAAATACCTGGCATTGGTCTCAGTAGACCAAGGCTAATGCCATCTTCAGAACACATTTTAAATCCAAATATGCTTATTATTTTGATGATTACCACACTTGCCAATAAATTAGATGTATAGGAGTATCTTATTCCATTCCAATTTTATAAGGACATTGGGGGGAGGGTCTAAATACATGTTTTGAAAGTGATTTTAAAAATGGTTTTATATAGAGAAGGCCTTTTTAAATCTAATACAGAAATTCAGAAAAAATCATACATTATAGATATACCAGAGGCCTGGTGCACGAAATTCATGTACTGGAGTGGTGTCTCTCAGCCTAGCCTGCATCCTCTCCAATCTGGGACATCCCTCTCACAATCCAGGACTGCTGGCTCCTAACCACTCACCTGACTGCCTGATTGCCCCTAATCACTCTGCCTGCTGGCCTGATTATCCCCCAACTGCCCTCCCCTGCTAGCCCAGTGGCCCCAAATTGCCCTCCCCTGCTGGCCTGCTTCCCCCCAACTGTCCTCCCCTGACGCCTGGTTGCCCACAATTGCCCTCCCCTGCCGGCTATCTTGTGGTGCCATTTTGTGGCAGCCATCTTGTGACGATGTGCAGGCGACAATCTTGTGATGATGTGGAGCATCCATCTTGTGACAATGTGGGGGTGGCCATCTTGTGATGACATGAGGGCACGAGGGCCACCTAGGTTTTTATTAGTATAGATAGTAATATTCTACAGATGCAGAAAAAGCATGAAATCATTAGCAATAAAGAAACCTATTAGTATCAGTGAATACAGATACATAGCAGGCAACAAAACACAACCCACGAATCTTATAACACAATACAAATACCAGTATTGTATTTCAGTGAATACTAATAACTAAATAGCACACAATAACAAATACATTTGATTAAATCTATATATAATACAAACCAAAATAATAAGTAAAATTGGTACAGTGCAAAATAAATTCAAATAAACTCCTATACAGATAGTGATAAAGCATGAGCAGTAATTTCAAAGCTATACAAAAGGTGAAGCAAAATAAGTCTGAAGTATTTCTATCTGCTCATGCATGTCATAAAAGCAGAAAGCAAGAGAAGAGAAATATTAATTCTTATGTAAACTGGTATTGCAATGTATACTGGAGCTATAAAAACAAGAGGGAAAATGCAAACACAATTGTAAGGTTTTCATCTTTAGCCTTAAAACCTCGGATATCATCAATTCCAAAGTCTGAAAACTCAGTGACTCTGCTGAAATTCAGATTTAAAAAAATTATATGTAGCTATTGCATTTACTTAGGTATCAAGTCTCTGGACATATCTTGTTTTTTACATATATAATATGTATTTTTCTATATGTTTTGAAATATGAAATAATTTATGTTTCATGAATTATCAGTGATCAAAATACTTTTTTAAAGACCTATTTGCTGTGTTACTTTGCTAAGTCTCTAATGTTAAGATTAACCTAATGGTACGATAAATAACTCCAACTACCTCTGATCTCCTTGCTAAATTAGGTTGCCATGTTTTCTTGCCATGTTATTCTGAGTTTCACCACTAGAGGTAGCATCATCATCCCAATCTTTTTGAACTTCAGTTCCTAATTACACTATACCCACTATATACTTTTCATAAGGTGGGCACACTAAACCCAGAACAATTTTGAATATATTTTCTGGAGGGAATACATTTTACCAGCTGGTAAATATCTGACATTTCTCCCCATTTATGAGCCTATATATAAAATACTACAAAAAAGAATAAAGACAGAATACATGAAATGTTTATGTAAATAGGGTGTAAAATATATGAATAATGTTTAATATCAAGAAAGCTATTTTATAGGTGGGAGACAATATAAATGTGTGATGAAGTGGCGATAAGAAAGACCAGCAGTAGAAAGTCTGGGCAAGGTGGATCATCCACCCTAAGAAAAGTGGGTTCCAGGAGTTGTTTGGATGATAGGAAAGTGACAGCTTTATCACTGGGGGAGAAACAGGGGAAATCAAAGAATGTGTTATTGTATGGCCTGGAGAACCAGATAGAATTTTTAAAATAATTAATTTGCTTTTACTTGTAGAAATAGATGATGAATTCATCAAAAACTTGAAAATACTCATTCCTTGGCTACTTAGTCCTGAGAGCCTAGATGTTAAAGAGATCAATGGGAACAAAATCACTTGCCGAGGCCTGGTGGAGTACTTCAAGGTACTGCTCTCATTTCTAGCACATTTGTGAGTACTTATATTTGACATGTTTGGAATGCAGTTCCCACTTGAAGTGGTAACAACAAAAATTATTGACTGTAATATGGGGGCAAAAGTATGAGGAATCCATACAAATGATGAAAAATTATGAGATTCCCAAGAGGAATTTTTGAGGGAACTACTTTCCTGTCCCCTTTTCTCTAGAGGGAAATATATTTGAAATATGAATGTATCTAAGAATTGGAAATATCTTTTTTGGGGGGAGGGAGGTTTCCCAGGGTCCAAACTACATAGTCCTCAGCCATGATCTATACTGAATTTCACCTTCATTCTGAAGATTTTCTCAAAGGGGCTACACCTTTCCTTCCTACTGGAGAACTGGAGAACACGCTTCCATATTTCACACTATGCACCAAGGACCAATTTGAAGTAGAATTATTTTAAATTTGCATTTACCTATTTACCTCAGGTAGCACTGAGTACAATGCCTTTTTTTTTTTTTTTTAACCAACCCACAAATATAGTGAAGAATTTCAGTTACCAGTCTAATTTGTGTATTGGTGATCTAAAGACTAAATTATCAATTTTTAAAATCAACATTCTGTCATTTAAAATGCACTCATATACCTCCTGTGAGGTTACTGACCATCACTCTGAGCAATAAAGGATATGTTATTTATCTAAAAATTGAATTCTTTGCATAAGCTTAGAATTTAGTAGGAGATTCAGGACCCTTACACAATTCTGTTCCATGAAGTTTATGACATCAGCAGGTACAAATTCCTGTGGGTAACTGAAAAAAGAAAGGTTACTCTTAGAACAGGGATCTGAGAGAGTGTTTAGAGGAGGTAGAAGTGAGCTATGCCTTCGAGAGGAGTAGGGCTGGCAAGTGGAGATGCGTGAAAAGGGCCTTTCAGGAAAGGGGAACAAAAACTAAGAGGGAATTAAAGTATGAGAAAAAGATTAGTTCCTGAAACTGCCAAGACCTTATTTTTTTGATACTGTCAAGACTTTAGACTAGGGGTGTCGAACTCAATCAGAGAAGGGGCCAAAATCTAAAATCCAGCCTAAATCGCGGGCCGAATGGTTTACTGAACAGTCATAAACTGTCATTGTGATGGAAACGCAGCGTAGTGCAGTGATGACAGCGCGGTGCGGGCCACATTGCAAGGCCTGGCGGGACGGAGTTGGCCCGCGGGCCTTGTGTTTGACACATGTGCTTTAGACCTTAGAATACAATGTAACAGGATTATAGAAATATTGAATAGAATTACTTGAACATGAGTCTTTCTCTTTTTCTTTTTAGGCTTATATAAAGATTTATCAAGGTGAAGAATTACCACATCCTAAATCCATGTTACAGGTATTTATTCATCATGAGGCATGACACTTTAAAACATGCTGTCACAGCTAAGATTTCCTTAGCTTTATGCCATGCTATGCAAAAGATGTGCCTCAATCTGATTGTCAGAAATTATCAAATTAAAATAGTAGACAGAATGATTTATTAGATTATTTTTCTAATAACTGCCTATTTGTGTGTTCAGCTAAACATTTTCACATAAACATACAGCACCCTCACTTGTGCTGAGATACAAACACTTTATACCAAAGAGTTTTCATTCTCTTTGTACTATATTTGTTTAGAAAACAGACTCACACATGTAACAAGAAGTAGAAAAGTAGTTTTAAACAAGTGGTGAAACTGGCCTTTTCCTTACTTAAAAATTTTTTTTAAGTTCTTGATAGTTCCTTTTTGTTATCAGATACTCTGTTCTATCAGTATAGCAGTCCTTAAGTTTGCCATTATATATATATATTGCTATATATTATTTCCATGTTTTTGGGTTTATAGATTTCCCCCAACCCTCAGTCTGGTGAGAGGCTTAAAAATGTTGAGGGGGAAAAAATCTTCCAAATGAAAATTTATTTTATCAATAGAACTATGGTTTATTTATTCACTATATATATATATATATATATATATATATATATATGTATATTTTATTGATTTTTTACAGAGAGGAAGGGAGAAAGCTAGAGAGCTAGAAACGTCGATGAGAGAGAAACATCGACCAGCTGCCTCTTGCACACCCCCTACCGGGGATGTGCCCACAACCAACGTACATGCCCTTGACCGGAATCGAACCTGGGACCTTTCAGTCCGCAGACCAAAGCTCTACCACTGAGCCAAACCGGTTTTGGCTACTATATTTTTTTATTGATTTCAGAGAGGAAGGGAGAGGGAAAGAGAAAAGGAAACATCAGTGATAGAGAACCATTGATCAGCCGCCTCCTGCATGCCCCATTGTGGGGATTGAGCCCACAACTTGGGCAACATACCCCAACCAGGAATCGAAATGACCTCCTAGTCTACAGGTCAACTCTCAACCAGAGCCACACTGGCTGGGCAGAACTATGGTTTATTGAGTAAACATATATGTATTATATATTTTGAAATTTTAGTTTTACTAATTTTTAAAAATATATAGTAGAAATATTTCAATGATTTAAAATTATTTGATGATCTTGGGTTCTTGCACATTTCTTGCTTATGATGCTTATAAATGAGAACTGTCTGTGGAAATTAATATGAATCCCATTTTACATAACATTTTGTACTTTATCCAAAGGCCACAGCAGAAGCTAACAATTTAGCAGCCGTAGCAAATGCCAAGGATACATACAACAAAAAAATGGAAGAGGTAAGAATCAAATTATATTTTAAACAAAATTAGTATTTTTTCCATGAAATACTGATTTCATTCCTTTTTCTTCCACATTATACTGTATAAACATATAAAGAGGCAGCTTTGACTTATTCTTTTCCTGCCTATGTGTATTACATTTTTTTTGTATTCCTAAAATATTTTAAAAGAAACCAAGAAAAGAACACTATATATGCACAATTTTCAACATATTTTAAATGTTACTTCTATATTTAATAGATAATTTTTATTTTTGTCACACCTTCCCACCAATTTATAAGATTTAGTGGCTAAAATAACATGCTACCCTCTCCACTTCACCTCCCTTCTTTCCACAGTTTCAGAATTTCTATCTTAGCTATAAAAGCATGCTAGGAAAAAAGAAATTAAACTTTAAGGGCTAATATTTCTACATACCATATTTCCTTTTTTGTTTTAACAGTTTCAATGAGGATGGACCTAAAAATTATTGTGTATCTACTAATGTAATGGGTCTTTTTCCCCCCTGAAAATGTTGTAAAATTAAAATTACATTCCAAATTGGAGTCAAGAGAAATATATTAGTAGTATATGAAATGGTGTTTATGATATAACTAACGGGTAATTAGAATGAGAGTACCTTTTTATAGTTAAATCTCAAATAACCAAAGTGAATGGTAAAAATAACAGATTTCCCTTGTAACTTCTGAAGAAAACAGAAAATGTGATCCAAGAACATTTAATATATTTCCATCTAGTCTCTTGAAGAAAATACTGACTGGGCTCCATTGAAACAAAAATCAGTGAAACTGCAATATAAAGCTTTTAATGATTTTACTTTAGAGCTTTATAGCATTGCTCATTGTTTTAAATTAAACTTCATTTGTCAAAATTGTTTCGTGCACTTAGAAAAAATTTCCTGAAGGGACTAGTTTTCTTGAATTTAGATTCATTCTGTAAATGAACTCACTTTACAGTTCACTTTGTGTCATGCCTTTTCATCTTGGATTAAGTTATGGATATTCTTTCCCGTGTCAAAAATAAAATAAAAATTAAGAATGACTTTATATAAGTAACCTATAGAGCAACAGGCCCACTTATAATCACACCTGATAGTTATTAACTGTGGATATGTGGGTTGATAAAACATATGCAGACTTCTTGGTTATTATGTTCTAACAAATTTAAGTAAAAATGTTTAGTTGCTAATTTTACTCTGCATTGCATAAACAATACTTCTGCATCTAATACAGATTTGTGGTGGTGACAAACCATTTCTGGCCCCTAACGACCTGCAGACCAAACATCTGGAGCTTAAGGAAGAGTCTGTGAAGCTATTCCGAGGGGTGAAGAAGATGGGTGGGGAGGAATTTAGCCGGCGTTACCTGCAGCAGTTGGAGAATGAAATAGATGAACTTTATATGCAGTATATCAAGCACAATGATAGCAAAAATATCTTCCATGCAGCTCGTACTCCAGCCACACTGTTCGTTGTCATTTTTATCACATATGTGATTGCTGGTGTGACTGGGTTCATTGGTTTGGACATCATAGCTAGCCTATGCAATATGATAATGGGACTGACCCTTATCACCCTGTGCACCTGGGCATACATCCGGTACTCTGGAGAATACCGAGAGCTGGGAGCTGTAATAGACCAGGTGGCTGCAGCCTTGTGGGACCAGGTAGGAACACTTTACTTCTCTTTAACTAAATTCAGTACACATTTGATTGTCTATATTATATACAGGGCATTATGTTAAGATGTTGGAAATATACAGATGAACATGACTTAGGGGCCCAGTTTTCATGAACTTTAGAATATCTAAAGATGGCCAGATACAACCAACTAACTGTATAATGTGTGAAGTCCCAACAACTGTTTTCCAGTTAACAATTCAATATTTTTAAAAAATACATGGATTAGACAGTGATTTTATTTTTTTATCCTAAAAGAAAAAGTTGTTGAAGTATGAGAAAAGTTGTTTTTATTTAGCTGCTTGTGACTCTGTATGTTAGCCTTACTTCATACTTATGACCTATTTTATTATTTGACAAGCATTGGCTTTGTTAGGATTATATACAAATCACTAAATTAATTGTGTATCACTGTCTCTTTTAGTATCAACTCATAAAAGCAATATGATTACTTCAGATTATCTTTATTTGAACTAGGCATTAGCACCAGGCCATAGCATGAGTCCAGGTCAACCTCTTGATCAGCTGCTCATGGGTCAGTTAGTTGTTCTTTATGGCCCAATTAACCATAACTTAGGGAGTCAGGCTCACCATGGTCCATTGTTTAGATAATTGATTATGGAAAGGGGAAATCATTATATATACACCTAGAACAATAATCAACTCTTTATGTCATTCTGGAAGTATCCGTTAGTTACCTCATGAAAATTTAGGGGAATTTAGTGAAGCTAAAGTTGAGATTCTCCAGAAAATTTTGGAATTAAAACTTTTGAACATTTATGGTCTGTGTAAGTGTACTCTTCTCCCAGCATGAAGAGTATACTTACACGTACAATTTTAATGGATTTACCATGTGGCTTTGAAAAATCTAGTTGAGGTAAACTAATGGTAGCACTATGGGAAAAGAAAGAATGAAAGCCCTGGCCAGGTGGCTCACTTGGTTGGAGCATTGTCCTGTACACAAAAAGATTTGCAGGTTTGATCCCTGGTCAGGGAGTGTGTAGGAGGCAACTGATCGATGATTAGCTCTCACATCAATGTTTCTCTCTCTTTCTAAAAATCAATAAAAACATATTCTCAGGTGAGAATTACAAACAAAAAAAATTAAAAACTGGATCCTCTGAGCCACTTTCTCAAATAGCTCCTCAACCTCAAAAGATAGAAGAGGGGCTATTTGAGGAAAAAAAACAATGCCCTCCTAGAATATGATGCTAAAACCTATAAGGAATATCAAATTGGGGTTTTCAAAACATTTATGTAAATATGTTAATACAAACAAAAAATTTGCAGTATTTGTTCTTCTTTAAAAATATTTTTTTATTATTTCAGAGAGAAAAGAAGAGATAACCATCAATTGGCTGCCTCCTGCATTCCCCCTATGGGGAATCGAGCCCACAACCCGGGCATGTGCCCTTGACCGGAATCAAACCCGAGACCTTTAGTTCGCAGGCCAATGCTGTAACCACTGAGCAAAACCAGTTAGAGCCTATAATTGTTCTTAAATGCTCACAGATTAATAAAGTGAACAATGCTGAATATTGTAATGCTATTATTGAAACAGAATATATACTTTTCTTTTCTCCCTTTTAAACTGCCTTTGCTACAGGGAAGTACAAATGAGGTAAGTTAAATTTTTCTAAGAGCTTATATTTGAAAACATCATGACTTTTTTTTTATAAACCAATTATCCATTAAAGGATGACTAAATGTAGATTGGAAAATCTTTGATAACTACTGCTCCTATGTTCTCCTTGCATTTATAATTTTAATTGTGAATTTTTAACATAGTTTTAAAACAATATTTAATTTATTCCAGACATCATGTGATTTGAAATGCATAGGAAACATAAACACATGAATATTGGGAATATTTTATCTGTTTCCTAAATATGTAGATTTCAAAATTCCTATGTTTCAACACTGTATTTCTTCTTCTGAAGAATGAAACATGTACAGTTATGAATCTTGAGGAAACTTAACTACTGGACAGCACTTATTTAACTTTGGCTTTTGAGTGACAGTTACCTATAACTTTAAGCAGGTTCCAGGCCAAAAGTGTAGCATACCTTTCTTGGCATACCTCAGACATGACTTGTAAATTGGTGTTCATTTTTCCCACCACCCTTTCATTCTATTACTCTCCAATGTGCTAGGATGAAGCACATTGATTCTTAGATACCTTTGTGTCTAAGGGAAGAATCTAAGCTTTCAGGAGGGAATCATTTGTTACGTAAGAAAACTTATCTCTGAAGTCAGTTAGGTCATTGTGTTCAGGAAGCAAAAAACGTCCTGAACTGCAGAGACAACGCATAATTCTTTACTCAGTTTCTGCTGTTACATGTGACTGGATTATGTCCTGTAATCAAATAACAATGATAAACTTAATATTTAGAAGTCAATAAAGAATTATTTTATATAAAATTCAATAAAATAAATTCACTAAAGTAAAAACAAATTTCAATTTCACAAAGCAAACCCTAAGGAAAAAAATCTAAGCTTAAAAGAACAAGGATTAAACTGAATGTGTTAGAATCAGAATATAACAGAACTAGGACAATACCATATTGCACCAATATGCATTCATAGAACTGATGATGGGTGGTACCATTAGACTTATGAAAATAACCATATAGATACAAAAGATAAAAATTAATGGTATTTCCTGGGAATCAATTACTATTTAAAGAATAGCAAACTTTTATTCAGTTTTTAAAAATATTCAGACTTGTTTACAGACTCCAGAATTACATAAAATAAGTTGGTCTTAGCCGAGTGGTCATAATGTGAAAGTCAAAAGAGGGAATTTATCTTAGACATTAGGTGGGGAGCAGAGAGAGAACATTAAAATATTTTAAAACTTACATAAAGCAATATGTAAAAATTCCTGAGTCAAGCACTGTTCTAAAGACACAAAGAACCATTTAGAGGTAGTTTTAATGATGAAAGGCTTTTGAGGTAGTTTCTGAATAATGGTTTGTAAAATATGAACTAATTAACAGAAATAAGGCAAGAAAACATTTGAGTGGACCCCAGTGTGGCAGAGGGAGTGGGCAACATGTTTGCTTATTTGCATTCCTGTATGAGGAAGTAATGGAGACTAAAGGGGGTCCCATTCTGAAAAACTGTAAGGAAGCCCTGAGAACAAAGGGTCTAGCTATGTACATACAGTAGCCATTGACAGAAGTTATGACCTTCTGTTATTCCTCTAACACTGACAAGTTCTCAACAAGCCCCTGGGCATAGCGAGTGGTTAGGAAGCTGAGTTCCATGAGGTGTGCAGGTAAAAAGGAAATGCAGTCTGAGAACAAAACATTTACCATGAAGGTCAACCCACAAAAGCACAAATGTACACTATAGAGGTGAAAATACTTTTGGGTTCTAAGATGTTATTAATTTATATTCTATAGAGATTAATGATATAGATTCCAAATTTAGCAAGCTTACTTTTATATAGTACCATAAACTAATTACACTAAAAAGAAAAATGTTTACATCTGTGTTTTAAAATCTGTATTCTTGTCTTTTTAGGCTTTATACAAGCTTTACAGTGCAGCAGCAACCCACAGACATCTGTATCATCAGGCTTTTCCTGCACCAAAGTCAGAATCTACTGAACAATCAGAAAAGAAGAAAACTTAATCCAAATGTTAAAAAATACAGGTGCATGACCAATTTCAGTTACATGTCTCCATGTAAACATTCAGTGCTTCCACCAGAAAGAGTAAAATACCAAACACCTCTGAAGACTGCAAAAATGGTTTTGTTCTTTTATTTCAGTGTTTAATAGCAGATGTATGTATGCATGGTTATTATTTCGTTAACGTGTACAGTTTTCTGATTTTGTCTTCAAATATACTGTTATTCTTTAAAGTTATCTATTTATGATGACAGTACATGTGTTCTGCTTGAATTTACTAAATTCTACTACAGGGTTGTAATTAAACCAAGTGGTAAAATATTACTCCCTGTTTGGATATGCTCATTTAGTTTTTACAGAAGAATTTTGAAATTATCTCATAGTCATATGTTAAAGCACAGCATCACAACTCCAAAGGCTTGATTCAGTCTATATCATCTTACATATACCATATGCTTATTTTTAAAGACATTTAAGAGATCTTTTCAGTTGCTTAATCAAAAACTATGTATTGCTTTTTATATTATGATTTAATATAGAATATAAACCTCTTGATAAAAAATGCACAATAGATCACTTTGTATGTATTTAAGTTTCTGCATTGTATATTTTTTCATTTGCTACACAAAGAAATGTATTCATCATAGGTTTATTCTTTTAATATGTCAACTATGATTAAAGTTTACTCTGGTTTCTAAAATTAAAAACAAATGCTTACTGAATTTGGAAATATTTGGGAGTGTTGATAAAGAATGATGGTTTATCTATCTTTTGAAAATTCAGAACGCATTTTTTTAAAATATATTTTATTGAGGAAGAGAGAGGGATAGAGAGTCAGAAACATAGATGAGAGAGAAACATTGATCAGTCGCTTCTTGCACATCCCCTACTGGGGTTGTGCCCGCAACCAAGGTACATGCCCTTGACCGGAATCGAACCCTTGAGTCCGCAGGCCGACGCTCTATCTACTGAGCCAAACCGGTTTCGGCAGAATGCATTTTCTTTAATGTTGACCACATTATGAATTTAGGTTTAGTACTTTTAAAACTGTGATTCTATAGTGTATTTCAAATTACTAAAATGTATAGTGGAATTTCATTGAGCATACACCCTTTAAAAAGAAAAAAAGTGTGGTAATGAAAAAAAGAAAAGCAATGCCTCTTATCTGGGAGCACTAAAACAGTAATTTCTAACTTTCTTTGAAATGGCTAAGCCATAATTAAACAGTAATATAAAGTAAGGAACAACAGTAAAGAATAATTAAGATAGAAGAGTGTGTGAAAAGTTTGATCACATGCCCTGCAAAGTAACTTTCTCAGTGATAAAATTACACTAGCTTATTTTCATTTTTCAATATCCTTTCAATGTACTGTTTTCTTTGATGATGGGTCTTATGAATGGAAAAATTGAATATTTAAGCACTATGTATAAAATATAGACTCAAACATTTAGTTTCCACAAAAATATATTTAATAAGCTGCTTGTATAAAATCAAACATTTAATATTTCCAACATTTTATCAACAAATTAAACTCACTACTATGTAACTGGGAGTACTTTGTATTTTGGAAGATTACCTAAAAAAAACCACATATTTACATATTTACAACACATGTAAATATAACTGAAGAGCTACTTCAACTAATGTTAAAATTAACGGAATTCTAGAGATTTATAGGCTAAAAGTGCCATAAATTTGTCTGCAATCAAATGTACTACACAAATTATGAACAATACCTTTGTAATTATTAACTCAAAAGGAAAAAAAAATGGGAATACTGGGTTTTAAAGTTCTATGACAAAGAAACTTTATCTTAAACATAAAAGAAAATCAATTTATTGACCAAGATTTCTTAATGAATCCCTGATTGTCATTTTTGGCAGCTCAGCCCAGCTTGTTAGGACGGTAGCATGTTATGCTATAGGGAACTCTCCACTGTCTCATCAGAGCCATGCTCTTAAATGCTGAAGAGCCCTGGCCCAAAGTAAGGAAGTGATGCTAGCTACTCTGAGTGCTGCACACAGCTCTCCCACACAGGCTTAAACCTTATGCCAAAATTTATTCCTTACAGAGTGAAGGCCCTTCACTCTTTCATACCAAAAGAATACTTTCTCATCACATTTAAAATGTTCTTTACATATGGGGGGGGGGAAGGGGGAGATACCATAAATTATATATAAAAATTTATCGCAATAAAGGTTACAAATCCCATTTTATGTTTTGAACTATACACAATAGTAACATTTAAAGCATTCGATTCCAGACAATGTTCCACACTAAAGCAGGAAACATCTTATTTTAAATACTGCATAGGTTATCTCTCACTGTTTTTTAAAGAAAGGTACTGCTACTGTAAGAGTTTATTTATCAGGTGATCATTTCCTATGTAATATCTCATAATGACATTTCTTGCTGCGTCTCCACTCAGAATATTCAAAGCAGCTTCCTAATATGCAGCATTAAGAAGTTTGCCATGTTGGCTTTAAGGTGATAAACATTTTTTTCCTCAATAAGAGTATTTTTTATAAAATACATGTAAAATTAGAATTTTATAATTTCTAAAAAGCTGCCTTTATTAACCAAAGTACTTGTTTGCAGTCTTTTATCTGTGAGAATATTTTAAAGCCCTTATAAAACTTAAATTCTATTTTTATTTTTTTAAAGTTTACTTAAAAATTCTTGCCATGTTGCTGGGCATACCACTGCTGCCTCTGCTTGCGGTTTTCCAACTCTGTGAGAAGAGCCTGTCTGTAGGCTTCATACATTTTGACAATCTGTTCCAGTTCTTTCATGAAAAGCAACTTTAGCATTCCCTGGTACGTATCGAGGTCAGCTAGCTGGAAGAGTTCCCACTTCAGAATATGGTCATACCTGTTTTAAAAACACAATCATACATATATTCAGAGTACACACATAAATATATATTTATAGTAATCAACTGGTCTATTTTTATAAATATCAACTTTATTAAAATTAAACCATAATATATAATTGAGTCAACTGCTACTTAAATATACTATTTCTTAGAGGAGAAAATAGTTACCACTTCATTTCAATTTCAAAATACCCATTTCTTTTACTCTGTCAGTTATTCTAATACTAGAGGCCCAGTGCACGAAAATTCATGCACTGGAGGGGCCCCCTCTCCCAGTCTGCGAGCTCTCAGGCAGGAGGTGACCCAGCAATCAGGAAGGCAATGCCCCCACCAAACCTCTGCTGCTGCCACTGTCAGCAGTGCAAGCCTCGGCTGGCCCCGATTACCTGAGCCGTAGGCAGCCCTGGGCAGCTGGGGGACTGAGGGAACTGGGGAACTCTGGAGGCAAGGGCGCCGAGGGGACTAGGTGCTGCCATCTTATGGCTGAGGGTGCAGCCATCTTTGAGGTGTGACAGTCAATTAACATCTTCCCTCCTTATTGGCTGTGGGCACTGCCATTTTTGTGGGGTGTGATGGTCAATTAGCATATTCCCTCTTTATTAGATAGATTAACACTAGATAGTAAAAAACACAGATTTTAAACCACTGTGGTTCTATAGTTTCTGAAGAAGACATTCTATGTTATTCGTATGTTCATCTAAAGGTCAGGAACTTAAGAATGCTTTAGACCACACTGGGCCTACAAATAGTACATACTACGGGCAAGGTCATTTGTGTCATTAGTGTCAATAGGGCTTTTTAAAAATATATATATTTTATTGATTTTTTTACAGAGTGGAAGGGAGAGGGATAGAGAGTTAGAAACACTGATGAGAGAGAAACATCAATCAGTTGCCTCCTGCACACCCTGCACTGGGGAACGTGCCCGAAACCACGGTACATGCCCTTGACTGGAATCGAACCTGGAACCCTTCAGTCCACAGGCTGACACTCCATCCACTGAACAAAACCAGTTAGGGCTCAATAGGGCTTTTTAAATTGTATGCCTTTTATTGATTGTAAAAAGAGAGGAAGGCGGAGGGAGGGAGAGAGAGAAATGTTAACGAGAGAAACATCAACATAGATCAGCTACCTCTGGCATGCCCCCTACTGGGATCGAGCCAGCAACCTGGGCTTGTGCCCTGATGGGGAACTGAACCAGGTTCATGGGTTGATGTTCAACTACTGAGCCACACTGGCAGGGCTTGATAGATGAGGCATGCTGTTCTCTACAGCAAACAAGGAACTAAAAAGAAGAAAGAATGAAGAGGAACCATCATTCGTGGGTTGAACAAAAAAATCCCACACAACAGAAAAACTCAAGCAGAAAGCAAATAAGCTCTTTTTAAAATGAGAGAATAAGTAGATTGTAGAAGATTCCACAATGTAGGGAAGGACTCATATAAAATTATATCTGTATCTCAGAAGGCCTTCTTCTGAGGCCATCACATACTGAGATAGTAGCATGCCACAAACTACTAAAGCAGTAATTTATACTTAGAATTGAAAGACATCTGAAGACAGCACTCTAATTCAATTTTATTTTACAGATGAAAAAACTGAAACCCAAAGAGGCCATATATCTCTTGCAATACTATTTAGTGACTAAAACATCAGAATGGCCTAAAGAACTATGGACCAAGATGCTTCAAAGTAATAATTTTTACTGTTAATACTAAAACTAGACAAAGAACTTGAACTAGAGAAAGGCATATACCTATGTGATAATGAAGTTATACTTCTCAAATCATACTGCAGAGCTGACATAATAGAAAGCTTTATAAATTCTGATAAATACATTTTTAATGATCATTTCAAATATTTCCTACCCAATGGTTCTTTGGTAATTCATTTACTATATTATTCTAAAAGGATCACTTGTCTAATATCAATTTTAAAAAGGGAAACAGTAATCAAATACTGAGCAGCCAGTATAAGCCACATACTGTGTATAAATATTTTGTATAAGTATTTTTAAAAAGGAAAAGGAGAAAAAACTTTAGATAATTATCTGACTTCCTAATCCCAGTATTTAGCATCAAGAATAGGATTATGGATAGAAGGAACAAAATCAGAGTAACTAGAAGATATCCTGTGGGAAGAAGAAAAAGCATTCTAAGGAACAACATAGAGAAGAAAAGTAAGCAATGTACCAACTTCTACTAAAAATTCTTGCCCCTGATGTTTCTGTATAATTTCTTCTCTTTTTGCCTATAATTAATCCTATTATGCCTAATTATTTTTACCTTCTTACTTAGCCAAATAATCTACTTCCCCAAGTTTAATTTTTAGCCACTTATACTCTAAATATACAGGTAAATCATTTAGAAAACAGGCTATAAAAACTCCTCCATAACCTCTTCTTACAGCATCTCTTTTGCTGTTTTTCCTAGGTTAGTATTCTATTCAAAATCTTCTAAATAACCCATATATGTAAACAGCCATTGCTATAAAGCCACCAATAAACCAAAAGAAACCAAAAAGGTGTTCACACTGCAGTGGATGCTGGCTTTTGGAGCAAAAAATGCTGCCTTTCTCAGCTCCAGGTATCATAATGTATTCCAACTTTCCGGCACCTGCTCCCTATAACAGGATGCCCACTGTTTCTTTCCACCTATTCCCAGAGCTGGGTCAATGGTGACACTGGAATCAAGCCACAGGAATGAAACAATCCATTCCACAATGCTGTGGGGGGGACTGGTGTTGGAGTGTGTGTAAAGAATATTACAATATAAAGTAAGTATTATACTCTGGTTTCTCTTCAGATCGCATAAATCTTTTGCCTTTTAAAGTATTTTCCTGACAGT